TGGACACAGCACTTCAGATGTGGTCTGCCCTGGGCTGAACAGAGGGGGAGGCTCACCTCCCTTGATCTGCTGGGCAGTGCTCCTCCTAGCACAGCCCAGACTCTGTGGGATTTCTGTGCTGCAGGGGCACACTGCTGGTTCATGCCCAGCTTGCTGATGTGCCTTTCTGCAACGTTGCTTTCCAACTAGTTGACCTCCCGCCTATACTGCTGCGCAGGGTTATTTCACCCCTGGTGTGGGATTTTGTTGAACTTCATGAGATTATTGCCTGCCTTTTTTTTTCCAGCCTGTCTGTGCCCTCCTGGATGGCAGCATAAGTACCTGGTCTGTAAACCACTCCTCCCAACCTGTACCATCTGTAAACTTGCTGAGGATTCACTCTGTCCCATCATGCCACTGATGAACGGCCAGTACTGGCCCCACAATCAGACTCCAGAATACTCCACTAGTAATGACACTGCAGCTGGACTTTGTGCTGCTGAGCCCAGCACTTAAGCCCAGAAGTTCAGCCAGTTTTCAGTCCATGTTACTGCCCACTTATCCACTCCCTGCTTCATCAGCCTGTATATATATATATGTATATCGAGGATGTTATGGGAGAACGCAGCGAAATCATTGTCAAAATCAACACAAACAACATAGACTGCTTTCCCCTAATGCACCAAGCCAGTGACCTGAAGTCCAGGGTCATGATCCTGCTATTTGGTTTGCCTTGGTCCCTTTTCTCAAGGTCATGGACTCTACCTTCTCATGGTCTCTACAGGCCAGGCAGAGCTCCATGCATCCCTGCTGCTGTCCAGCATAAAGGTCAGATCTGCTCCCCACTGTCCCGGCCTATCCTTCCTAAATCCTGCCCATATCTGCCCACTGCAGCATTCAGCCACTGTCCTTCCACATCTCTGGGATGTGACCTCAAGGAGGCTGCTGCCCTGCAGCTGCACACCAGGGCTCCAGTGCCTTTTCTTTGCTGCTAAAGGATGTGCAACAGTCTACAGACACTTCGGAGAACCCAGTCAGGCTCATTTCCACGAAGAAATCATATTACAGAGTTACTCTTTGTAGCACTTTTGATGCTGCCACACTTAATTGGTACCAATTAACTGAATCACCTCTTTCTTCTAATACAGCAGTAAACAACTGACATTTAAAAAAACTGTAGATGCCTGTACTTTCTGTGGGTTTTAGTTAGTCTTTCCAATGCTGAGTGCATCTGAAAATCACTGGCTTGCTTTGTTTTCAGACATACTGATGCGGAGGAGACTGTAAATGTAACTAAGCTGCTCTTTTCAGATGCACATCACTTAATTTATCTCCTCTCTCTGTCGAAGAAGAGTGAACAGGAAGGCCACACTGTTGCATGTGAAATGCTTTCAGGGATATAGCACATATTTAAAAAGCGCTTAGCCCCATTATGGTATTCATTCTGGTTGTTATCTGAGCCTAACACTTCTCTTAGGAAACCTAAACTGAGTCACATATGAGCACAGTTCAAATTTTAATATGGAGTTTGGATATATTCAACTTTTCAGTAATGGCAACAGCTTTTCAAAATGAAATCCTTTTACAAATCTTTCCCTGAAGAACCATGGTGTGACACTTTTGATATCCCCCAAAATAACTCGTGTTAGAAAGACTCCTGAAAGGACTTTCATATACCTATTCATATTTTAAAGATACATGACAGAGTCAAACAATTCTCCGGCCTTGGGAAATATTTTCATGATGGGCCCAGTCCTACAAGGGTATTACATGAAAGAAGTCCTGATCTCAGAAGGATAGCTTCTTTTCTAGCTTTTTTTTTTTTTTTTTTCCCCAAGTGAAGTAAAAACAGAGAAACTGCTTGTAATTTGCAAGAGAAATTTTAATGGCAAAAAGAAAACTATCTGCTGATGTGCAGCCAAACAACTGTTCCCATTAAGGGTGCTTTCTTCCCCTGGTTCTTCCTCCTGAAGGGAAGAGCTTCAAGAGTGTACCTAACTGTGATGGAGACTCATCCTGGCATTTTCACGTGCAATTCTGTTTCCAGCTAAGTCAGTGAGACTTTAGCACTGACACAAAAGCACAATATGATCCTTGGAGTGTAGGCAGAATTTTACCACCTGTTTATTAGAGAAACTGAAGTGTTTGAGTTTAATCTGTTTCTTATTTTCTTCTATTGTGATTATACTGAATTTGTGACTGTGAAACAACAACTTTGCATCAGAGTCCTTATTAAGCACAACTGATAAGCATTAAATGCAGCACAGTACTGATTAAAGACACCCTGTAGTATAAACACACACATCTTCAAACACAATCCACTTTAAAAGCATCCTTACAATCAGAACCTATATCCCTGCTCCTCTTCCTTAGATGCTGAGGGTGTATTAGGCAGCTGAGGTCATGGGACAGTTCCTGCCATGTTCCTTTGGAATGAACACAGTTAAGTGCATGACTAAGTAATGCAATTAAAATAATACAATTTACTGGTATCATATTATGTTTTACTGATGAACAACCTCCCCCAACATATGTGGTGCTCGATATTCATGTAGTTTATTGGTGGTACTGGTATTTTTATGCTTGCTATTTTTTTTGTACCGCTGCTTTCATGCTTGCTGTTTTCCCATCACATATAACCGGCTGACCAAACACCACCCATCTTTCACTGACTTCTTTTAGAACAAAATTCTAATTGCAGACAACTTAAGGAAGCAACTTAATGCTGCTCCAGGTTGCACAAGTCTTTGTTACTCTCAGGGCAGACAGGTTACTGTTTGCATGTTGGCTGCATGCACATAGATCCCCACACTGGAAAATTTATTGCCTTGCTTCTGACAGTACTGTAGGATGCACAGTTTTAATTAGCCAGTCTGACTATCCATCTTCATTGTACACAAGTTCACGGCATACGCCAAAAGAATCCTGCTTTTTTTACTGCCAGTGATTAACCCCTCCTTAAAATTCACCAAAATGACTGAAGTTAAAAAGATAATTAAAAGCAATGGGAGAATCATCCCGAATTTGTTCTTCTGCATTAAGAACCAAAGTCACTCTAAAAATAGGTCTTGCACGCTACTTACATAGATGCACTGACCTTGCACAAGTGAAACTACTTGTAAGGTGCTATTAAAGTGTTTTGTCAAAGCAACAGCAGGGATCTGGGAAGCCAAACGCTTCATGTAACATTCCATGGCATTGCTACTCAGGTATGAGTACAACTGCATAGATTTTTTTTTTGACAGGGCTTAATTTTTTTTGGCAAGAACCGCAACGTTACTACTGACGGTGTTTGTAACCTGTGAAACGTTACTGTGTCCAGCCAAGCTCTCCTCTAAGCTCTCCCGAAAACCGAGAGGTTTTCAGGGGCAGAGGAGGGGCAGCTGTAGGCAAGCAGGCTTCTCTTGATTTTTAATTTTCCTAGAGAGCTGGCTGCTCTCTGCCGCACCAGCTGCGCCTTCCATGGCACCACATCTTCTCCCCACTTCCTTACCTGTCCAATTTTTTTCACAGAGAATAATTTTAGATCTCTTTGCCCCCCTCCTGTGCAGAACCACGGAATGGGGCAGGCTGGAAGGGGCCACAGTAGGTGACCCAGTCCAACCTCCCTGCTCCAGGAGGGCCATCCCACGGCACATGGCACAGGATTGTGGCCAGAGGGTTCTGGAACATCCCCAGCGAGGGAGACCCCACACCCCTCTGGGCAATCCCTTCAGTGCTTGCTCATCGCACAGGAAAGACAGTCTTGCTCACGTTCAGGTGGAACTTCTGTGCATCACCTTCTGCCCGCTCCCTCGTGCTGTTGTTGGGCAGCACCGAGCAGAGCCCGGCCCCGTCCTCCCTGCCTGCAGATGCCTACAGACATCTCCTCAAGGCCCTCATCACCCCGTGCTGGACTCACGGCAGGAGCTCCCTGCCCCTCTGCTCCTGAGGAGCTCAGCACTGGGCACAGCCCAGCCGTGCTCAGCTCAGTCCCCACACCTGGCCCCGCCGTGCCCGTTCCCTGTGCCCATCCCATCCCATCCCAGCCGTGCCCGTTCCCTGTGCCCATCCCATCCCATCCCTGCCGTGCCCGTTCCCTGTGCCCATCCCATCCCATCCCACCCTATCCCATCCCATCCCATCCCAGCCGTGCCCATTCCCTGTGCCCATCCCATCCCATCCCACCCTATCCCATCCCATCCCATCCCAGCCGTGCCCATTCCCTGTGCCCATCCCATCCCATCCCACCCTATCCCATCCCATCCCACCCTATCCCATCCCATCCCATCCCAGCCGTGCCCGTTCCCTGTGCCCATCCCATCCCATCCCATCCCATCCCAGCCGTGCCCGTGCCCGTTCCTGTGCCCATCCCATCCCTATCCCATCCCAGCCGTGCCCATCCCAGCCGTGCCCGCTGCCCACACCGGCCCTGCCCTGCCCTGCCCGGCCCACCCCAGCCGTTTCCTGTTCCCTGTGCCCATCTCAGCCCAGCCGTGCCCGTTCCCGTGCCCATCCCATCCCATCCCATCCCATCCCATCCCATCCCATCCCATCCCAGCCGTGCCTGTTCCTGTGCCCATCCCATCCCATCCCATCCCATCCCATCCCATCCCATCCCATCCCAGCGGTTCCCGTTCCCTGTGCCCATCCCATCCCAGCCGTTCCCTGTGCCCATCCCATCCCATCCCATCCCATCAATCCCATCCCATCCCATCCCATCCCATCCCATCCCATCCCATCCCATCCCATCCCATCCCATCCCACCCCAGCCGCTCCACCCGCTCCGTGCCGCCCCCGCCGCCCAAACCTCGCGAGACCTCCCGCGCTCCGCCGGCTCCTCTGAGCGCGGCGCCCCGCAGTTCTCGCGATACCCGCGCGGCCCGGCCTGCCGGGCCGGTCCTGCTGGGCCGGGCCGGGCCGAGCCAAACCGAGCCGAGCCAAACCGAGCCGGGCCGGGCTGGGCCGGGTTGGGTCGGGAGCCGTAGGGTCCTTCCCGAGTGGCCCCCCGGGTCCCCCGGAGCCCCTCCCGGCCGAGGGCGGTGCAGGGTCCCCGCAGCGGCGGGGCCCGCCCGTGCCGGCGCCCCCGCCCACAGGGCCGCGCTGTGCTGAAATGGGTGAGGGGGGTGCCCCAGGTAAGCGTCTTCCTTCCCTGTGTCTTGCCTCTCGGCACCCTCGAATTTTGCTTTTACAGCCGTTTGTTGAAGCGTAAAAAGAAACCAGGAACCCTGGCGCTCTACATTAGGTGGTCAGCTTAAATAATTAGAAGCATTCATGGTAATTCCGCCTTTTTTTTTTTTTTTTTTTTAGAGGAGTAGTGGTTGAAAGGAGGTAGCGTGTGACAGGAGGCCATCATCGCAATGATTCATCGCACTTAAAGTGGGCAATGGGACACTTTTTGCAGCTGTAGTTAAAGGAGTAAGTGTAGGCGAGCATCTGAAATACCTGCTCCCTTCACTGCTGGCAGGTGTGCCGTACCCATGCCAGGAGGCCGTACCGCATCGTTTTCTTTATTTTTAAAGACAGTACTCCACGTAAATTATGGTCCTAGTTAAAAACCCACGAACTCAGTGAATCAGGCGAGTTAAAAGTAGCAATTCTTGCTTTGGCCTGTAGAGCATTGTTTTCTAGGCTTTTGTAGCAAAGGTGTTCTTAATACCACCTTTTGTGTGTGTGCATTTTTCTCACCTTGTCCCTTGTTGCTCATTAGGTTTGGAGCTTGGTAACACCAGTGCTGTTGCCCAGTGTGGTTTATTCCATTTTACACCCGGGACTCTAGTTTTGATGAGTCATAGGCGACTCATTAACCTCACATAAATGCTTAGCTAAAAACAAAGATGCTGTCATCTTAAATCGTGGATTGAACCTGAGAGTCTGTAAACTAATGTTGCACGTTGCTTCAGATATTACTGTGGAAGAAAGTAAGACATCTGCATGTGTTGAAAGGTGAATGGAGCTACTGAGAAGAGAGCAGCCAGCTGGGGTTTGCTAAACAGGCAAATCACACGTGGGCTGTGGAATCTCTGTAGCTAAAAGAATACTTCAAGGCCAAAGACTTTTAGAGGAGGGGTATTCTGTATGTTTGTGCCGTTTTTATTGTTACCTCATGTCAGCTTATGGCCGATGCTGGTTGCAGAATAGTGGGCTACATGGATGTTTTTATTTACATAATTCCATCCCTTTAAAGAAAGGAACTTAGTTATCATCAATTTACCTGGTACACTGGAGAATAGTCCTGTGAGGGTACACTTCCAGGACCTGGTGAGGAGAATCTCCATGGGGTTTTTGCACAGAGACATGAAAATGGGTGAAATGGGAGTTTCGTGCCTTCAACTCTTCCTCATCCTTACCTCTGAAAAGTGTCTGTGTTGATGTGCCCAGAAATGTGTGCTACCACTGGTCATAAGCATGAAGTTCCATATACACCTTCTGGTATTTATAAAAAAAACAGTGTTAAAGCAAACTGTAATTTTATGTTTAGCTGTAAACAGTAGTTGGTTTCTTTATTTTAGCGCTTCCCTCAATAAAGTATTTTATCTTAAGATGTATGCATTTTGTCAGATATACATCCAGTGTTTTAACAGGGTGAAGAAATGAAATACATTGTGTGTCAGGCCAGTTTATCACTGTGTGTTTGTTTTTTTTTTTTATAGATTGTTGGCGTATTGGGGAGAAATGCCTTGCCCCTTGCCTTGAAAATGGAAAACTTCAGGAAGGAGTAATAACTTCACTTGAAAAGGACAAGAATGGAAAATCATTTGCTGTTGTATTATTCTTGGAGTCTGAAGAAAGGAAAATATTAGTAACTAAACTTTGCAGAGTCAAAGACAGTAGAGGACCCTGGAAAAGCTCGATATTTGATGATGGTGATCTGGAAAAGCCATATTTTCCTGACCAAAATCTTCCATCTCCTGCAGTTCCTTTTAAATTATCGGACAACGGCGATTTTATCCCATACACGATTAACAGATACCTGCGTGATTATCAGAGGGAAGGAGCCCAGTTTCTGTATAGACACTATGCTGATAAAAGGGGGTGTATTCTTGGAGATGATATGGGCCTCGGAAAAACAATACAGGTATTCTTTTTGCTTGTTACAGTTGGAGAATAGCATGTTTTCTGGTACTGTATTTATAAAGCTTAACCTCCCCTTGCTGTTGTGGAGTTGGATGAGCCCGGACGTGACATCCAGGACAGCGCTCAGAGCCAGGAGCCACTGCTGCTTTAGGATTCACTCCTGACAACCATTAAACTGGGATGTGGTCCCTTTTGGTTTACTGTGTTGAATTTACTTTGAGGATTGCTACCTGTCCATCATGATAGGCATTTGCACTGCAGTACACAAGAAGAGCTTGGGGCCCTTATCTGACTCTAGCTTTTAAAATGTCTCTTTTCTTTTTTTTTCCTGAAAACAAAGTTTCACAGTTGTGGGAAGGAGCAGGCACATTTACTCCTATCTCTGGACCATGCTGCTTCTATCACTTTTGGAAGTGCAGCTGGGTTGATGAGAGGACAAAGTGTAGCTGGATTTTTTTGTTATGGTTTGAGTCTGTGTGGCCCAAATTATTTGTTTATTTTGCTGTAATTAGGGTGTTTCTGTGTGTGGAAATCCACTGTAGTCTGTCTAGTTTAAACTTAGCAGCTTGAGCCCGGTGGTATCTAGTCCTTGTCCCCCTCTCTCTTCTCTCTGTCCACGTGTCAAATGCAAGCTCATTCCTTCACTGACAGGTATTGTCTGTGGTATCTGTCGCCCTTCCATTTAGGAGAATGTTGACAGATGCCTTACAGGTAAAGAAGTATTGTTCTGTAGCAAACTTGACAAGAGGTGTGAGTAAGCTAGACTGACGAGACTCTGCTTAGAGCGTTTAGGGGTACATCCTGGATTTGTGTGTATAGCTGATGATGGTTTGTTAACAGATGCTTATTAAAAATAAACTGCATCCATTTGAAGCATGGCCACAGCAGCGTAAGAACTCAGCAGTTACGGAAGGCTGTTTCTACTCAGAACTGCAAATAACCTGATTTTGTGTGGTAAGAAGTGTATATAGAAGATAATAGTAAACTGGGAGGGAAGGCGAGGAAACTGTGTGGTTTTGCTTGCATCACTTTCATTGTTTGAGCTGATAGTGTGTTCCTATGTGGAATTCACATCTGATGGTTATTTCTTTTAATCTGTGTCAGATTTGCAGAAGTAAGGTAGAGGTTTCAAGAAATGTCTGTTGTGAAGAATAACAGGAAGGAATTCTGTAAGTACACAGGTCAGAAAAGAAAGGCCAAGGAGAGCCATCTGAGGCAGGCAGCATGGCTTTAGTAAGGGCAAATTGTGCCTGACCAGTCTGGTGGCCTTCTCTGGTGGAATGATGGCAATGGTTGATCCAGGAAGACTGGCAGATGCCATCTGTCCTGACTTCTGTAAGGCCTGTGATATGATCCCACATGATGTCCTTATCTCTGGAGAGACATGGGTGTCATGGATGGGCAATCTGATGGATGCAGCCAGAGAGCTGTGGTCAGTGACTCTGTGTTGAGGTGGAGGCTGGTGATGAGTGAAGTCCCTCAGGACTGTTCTTCAGTGTCTTCATCAGTGGCATAGTGAGATTAGTGAAGCCTCAGCAAGTCTGGAGATGACACAAAGCTGAGCAGTGCCGCTGACACAGCAGAAGGATGGGATGCCATCCAGAGGGACCTGGATAAACCAGAGAAGTGGGCCCATGAGAACCTCATGAGGTTCAGTAAGTCCAAGTGCAAGGTGCTGCAGCTGGGTCAGGGCAGTCCCAGACATGAGCACAGACTGGGAGAAGAGGTAATTGAGAGCAGTGCTGTGGAGAAGGGCTTGGGGCTTCTTGTGGGTGAAGAGCTGGGCATGAGCCAACAGTGTGTTCTTTTAGCTCTGGACTGCATCAAAAGCAGTGACCAGCAGGTCAAGGGAGGTGATTCTGTTCCTTTGCCCTTGTGAGACCCCACCTGGAGTGTCCAGCTCAGGGGTCATCAGCACCAGAAAGATGGAGGGCCACAAAGGTGATGGAGCACCTCTCCTACAAAGACAGGTTGAGGGAGTTGGGGCAGTTCAGCCTGGAGAAGAGAAGGCTCTGGGGAACCTCCTTGCAGCCTTCTGGTACCTTTATGTTCAAGGCCAGGTTGGGTGAGGGCCTGATCTAATGAATGGCACTCTTGCCAATTGCAGGGATTGGAACTAGATGATCTTGGAGGTCCCTTCCATGATCTTATGTATTTTTTTTAAAACACAGTGTTTATGCTCAGGGTCATTATGGAAAAGGCAGTTCAGTGGATTTGAAGTAAAAGGAAGAATTCACTTGTTTAGGAAAGGTTAGTACATAGGGAAAAAAAAATACTAGTTAAACTTCATTGAGTAACTGATTGAGTCTTATAGACAACTTACGCTTGTCAGTTACCTGAACTTTATTATTCCTGAATTATAAGATGATTTATGAGACAAAGACTTTTCTAGAAACCTTTTGCATTTTAATGTTCTTTGTACTTCTGAACTGATTTTTGCCTTAAGTGGCTTGACTGTGGGGTTCCTTCAATTCCAGCTGAATTTGGGGTGGAGGCAAGTAGAATAATGTTATTTCTTAATGTGAATACAGTAAATTAGTTTCCTTTCAAGGCCTCTAGGTTGCTTCTTGCTTTGTCTGGAAGAGCTGAAGATTTCTCAGAATGAGTTGCCACGTTACGCCTTTCTATTGTTAGAAATTTGTGATACAAATTCTTCTCAAAATGAAGGATCTGGAAGAGACATGGAGTTTTATTGTTCAGTTGAATTTAATTCTTATTCTCAAAAGGATTTAAACAAATAATTAAAAGTCACTAATTAAACAGCATATGCAAACTTGCAGTTCCTCTTAGCCTCAGCTTGTATGAAATACCACATATAAAAATGTTTGGGTTACTGTTATTCAACGTACCTCTCTTCCACCCTGTGGCCACATTAATGAGGGGTGTCCTCTCTCTTCTGTCCATCTAACTTTTCTCAGGCAGGTATTTTTTCTGCACTTTTGACCTCCTGACTGGCTCTTTTCCCCGTCATTAGAGGGAAGCAGCTCTTTTTTTGGAAATCAGCAGTTGATAGCTTTACCTCTGCCCTGCTATGAGCAGCTGTGTAGCAGCTGCAGAAGGAAGCGTCTGGAGCTGGCTGCTCTGAGGAAAAGGGGCCTGTTGAGTTTTCAAAAGAAGGGCACCTCTCTGATGATGCATCTGGTCCTTGCTGCTGCTTAGTCCCACAGATGCCATTTATTCCAAGTGGATTTTACAGATTTGCATGTTCTGGCCAGATATACTTTCTGCCTTATTCCTGTTTTGGATTACCATGGGAGCAATTTGGAGTAGCCTGTGCTGTTTGTTTGTCCTTGTGGTGGTGTACTATAATAAGCACCTTCTCATAATCACCTTGACCGCTCTGAGGCAGCTGGGAGAATATGGCACAGCTCAAAGAAATGGTTTTGATGTCAACAACAGGAATCTGAAGGAATGGAACATACAGAAGAAGACATATTAGTAAAAACCAAACCTCTAGGTTAAGCATCTTCTTCCTATTTCAAAAACAGGGTTGAGAGTAGAGTTGTCAAGTATATGTTCCTTCTGATCACCTTCTGAACTCTCCTCTGAGAGTCAAGTGCCCTTAAAAGGAGGAGAGTTGCAAGGCATGCTTCATCTCTGCTTTATCCTGGCTTATTCCTACTCTATCTCTTCTGTATTTTTGGGGATTTTCCACTTAGAGAATGAAAAAGTGAGATAGAGCAATTAATTATTGTTATCATGAATTCAGGGAATTCATGGGAGTCCAAGGGAAGGGGTCCCATTTTAAAAAGTGAGACTGTTTTTTTTTTGTTTGGGGTTTTTGTTTGTTGGTTTTAAATCAGTCTCCCCTCTCCCTGAAACCATCTTAATAAGTCACATCCAGGATTTTGTCCTAAATGTTTGTTTTCAGTGGAGCTCATTCAATTTGTTATCGTACATAATCACTGAGAATTGTTTTCTTTCTCAAGGTCATCTCATTTTTGGCTGCGGTGTTGCACAAAAAGGGAACACGTGAGGATATTGAAAATAATATGCCAGAATTTTTACTGAGGACAATGAAAAAGGGCTCTAATTGTAATCCCAAGAAGGTACAACTTTTAGTGATATAATCTTATGAATTTTGGTAAAATGCAATACTTGGATTTTGTTTGTTTGTTTGCTGTTAGAGTTTGTGTATATTTTTAAAAATTCAGGTGCTGACGTAGATTAGTGGTTCATGCCTTTCCTGGTAGGGTTAGGGAAGCCTGCAGTTTTCCAGACTATCTAGCTGTTATTGTCTAATCTGTTACTACTGCTGATCTGCACTAAAACAGAACATTTGAAATATCTGGATTAGACTTTTGGCTAGAGTACTTTGAAAAGCCTGTGTTAGTGGGTAGAAAATTAGCATTGTGTGATTGTATTTTTAAAGTAAAAAAAAAGGCATGTATATCCATAATAACAGGATATTTAGTTAAGACAAATGCCTATAGTTGGAGTATCTATTGCTAATAGACTTTGTGACCTCCCATGTTTTCTTGATGGGCTGTCATAATGTCAGAAGTAAGTCTCTGATAATCTGAGTAATCCAATACAGCAACAGCAAATGAAAGAAACCTGTAGAAGTTCTGTGTGAATAAAATAATCTGAAGATCATTCTAATTTTACCCATCATGGGAACCGTGTGACTTCTTTTTCCTGTTGTTGTTTTATTGGAATAATTAGAGAATTTGAGTGGCATAATGAACCATATGACTAAGCTCTGAAAAATGGATACATGTTCCTCAGGAAACACAGGAGAGAGGAAGAGGTAAAGGGGTAGCACTTCACATGCACAGGAACAGGAATGCTTCTGTCTGGGAGTAAGAGAAGAGCATCACTTCGAGAACATTTAATGTTAAAACAGGTCACAGGATGGACCCCACCCAGCCTTGTGGGGTTTTGAGGACCTGACTTGGGAAAGCCCTGGTTTGAATTCAGTGTTGCTCCTGCTTTGACTGTAAAGGACTAATAACTTTAATTCCTACCTCACTGATGTTATTATTCTATGATATTAGGTGAATTGTATGAGCTGTCTTAAGTTTTTAAACCCTTTTCGGGTCTTTTTGTTTTGAAGTCACATGATGACTAGACTTGTGGATTGCAGGAAGCTGCCTTCCCTCTTCATCCTTTTCTTTTCTCATCTGTAAACCAGTTTATGGTATACAGATGGTATAACAAAGCAAAGTGATAGTATTTCATGTCTTATTGCAGTTGTTAGAGTATAATTTGAGTAAGCAGCACTGTTTGGTATTTAACTTTAGTATTACAATATTTTCTTCTGTACTATTTATTTACTCAGAGTAAACTGATTACTTTTAAATTTGTATTAACTGTTGAAATATTTTCCATGCTGTGCTTTGAAGTGACAGAATTAAACAGTTGAAACTGTTCAAAGCAGTAAAATAAATCTTGAGATTTTGACTTTCCTTGTTGGGAAAGCGCTATGTTGTGGTTTGCACAGTAATACTGTAATTCATACTTGTTTTCAGACTTTCCTCATAGTGGCCCCTCTTTCAGTACTGTACAACTGGAAGGATGAGTTAGACACATGGGGATACTTTAAGGTCTCTGTCTTACATGGCAGTAAAAAAGATGATGACATGAGTCGCATCAAGCAAGGGAAATACGAAGTTGCTCTTACAACATACGAGACACTTCGCCTGTATTTGGATGAATTTAACAGGTAATAGTTTTAATGTGTTTTTTTTGTCTACATACAGAATTTTAACTAATTGCGCATTGTTCTTTGCAAGTACTTTTTCTGTGTAATGTATTTACATTACAGTGTTAAATCCAGTAACTCACTGTGCTGAAGAGAAGAATCTCATTTAGCTATGTTTGGTGACTTTAGCCTGTACTATCTTTGTGGTGGGATACTTGGTAGCAGCAAGCGTTTGAATAGTTTCCATTTGCTTTTACCACGCTTATGACATGTTCTTTAAAAGATCCAAGAACTGCCTGCCTGAAAACTGGTGACAACTAAAAGATACATAGAAAATACTTCTATCTTTCAGTACAGAGTAAGGAGACCAAAAACCTGGAATTTTTAGCAAATGTTCAAAAAGGTATTTTCCTTGTTATTTGCACTTTTCACCAGCTTGATGAAATTCTCGAGTCCTAAAAAGTTTGAGATTTAAAACTACCCATTTCTTATCTGATCCTCAGGGTTCTTTTCCCTTACTTTGTCTTGAAAGTAGAGTACAAGTTGTGCCAATGGTTACAGTAGCAGCCTGCTCTCAGCAGCTGAAATTGTCAGTGGATCTGGAGATCTTGTTTCAGGTGTTGGGGAAAGTTCAGGCTCCAGAGAGTGTCATGGTTGTCTGGACAGCCATCACCAAAACAATCAGATCTTCATCTCTGTGCTCAGGTCTGAGAAGTGCAGATAGAAGAGTAAATTAGTTTTGTCAGTAGTACCCTAAATCTTTGTGTTGTCTCTGAGGGACCCTTCAGGCTTGGTCAGGAAATGGGTGCATGTGCAGAGCAGATCTGGTGTGTGACTGCCTGCACATGCTTTGCTCAGCATTCTGATTTACCAAACTGCTTCTAGTCTATGAAACCGTGTCTTGCTTAGCTACAGTGATGGACTGGCCTCAAAAACTACTCTTAAAAAATTAGATAAGAATATATATGCTCAGTTATACCTGTAAATTAGCATAATGAGAGATTAGTGGAAGGAGCTAGCAGGTGAATGTCTGCTAGGCTCCTTTCAGAACCTCCAATTTTTAGCATATGTTAGGAATGTAAGGAACTCTGATATGTATGAATGTATTTAGTGAGTATCAAAAATATTGCAAGAGCCTTGAGATTAGTGAACTAAATTCAGCCTGCTCAGGATAGAGGGTTTCTACTAAACGTGTCTGTTTCAGCTTTTTATAGCCTGAAGGATCATCAAACTGGATATTGTGTTCTGAAATACTCATTCATACATGTAAAGTGAACTCATAATAAATCCCTTCATAGGGACCTGGTGGCTTAAATTAGTATCATTGTGTATGGGCCACTTAAGTTTTGTGCTTGAACTGGCTGCAAAATATCTGTTGGTTACTGCCTCTAGATATGTTCCTTCTGGTCACTATCACAAATTGCAGAAATTCCTCTGCCATATTAGTGTAGTATAGATTTCTTGAGTGGATTGCTTTCTTGTAGAAAACCAGGCAAACTGAAATGTTTTCAGCCAGCTGCTAGTTACGCTGGATAGTTTTTGTTGGGAAGATGAAGCATACCTGTGTTAAGCATGTTTCAGTAGTTTGTGCTCAGAGACTTGCTTATTTTTTGTACATTGTAATGATGAGCGGAGCTCATATTGGTGAGATGTGCTGGTTTCATTGCTCCGCAGGTTGAAAGCTGCTTTCTTCACAGAAAGTATTTGATACAGTTGGCAGTAGTTCATTTATTTGGCTGTGTAGTTCACCTGTTAAATTCTGCCACATTCAACTACGGCAATCAGTTTTACTAAACAAAGAGAATACGAAGAAACTGAGTAATCTGGTACAATGTGAAACAGAGAAATCAAAAAGTAATAGTGTATTATAATGATCGCAGCCACTTGTGTGTCTGACTTCACCTTGGTTGTGTATGTGGGACAATGGGATAAGAAATGTCAGTTAATGAAATGTTTTTGTGATCTGCAGCGTAGAATGGTCTGCTGTGATAGTGGATGAAGCACACAGAATCAAGAATCCAAAGGCTCAGATAACTCAAACCATGAAGTCATTAAGATGTAGTGTTCGCATAGGTCTTACTGGAACCATTCTGCAAAACAATATGAAGGAACTTTGGTGTGTTATGGACTGGTAAATAATTTATTTCTTTATGGTTATACACCTCTGTATGCTAACCGTGCAGTGGGACTGGGGTAGAACTGGGTGATACGGACCCATCTGTGTCATAAAAACAAACCACAACCCCTGCCTCAAACCCCTGATGTTTTGTGGGAATGTAACTATATTTTTGTTAATGCAGCTGTGAAGGTGAGCCCCCGGTATGAATTTTACAGTTTTTTAATGCATTTGGAGCTCTTCACAACTGGCTTCTCTGGGAAATGTGGGAAGCAGTTGAAAAGATTCTTCCCCCACCCACTGTATTTAGTTCTTTTTTTTTCTTAAGGTTGCTTTTTATGTCTTCTGTCCTTTGCCCAGTAGAGAGGAAATCATTACAGAACCTTGACCAACACTGTGCCTTTGCTCTGTCCAATATGTGCAGGTCATTCTGACCTGCTTGGAGGATGAATACAAAACTATTTTGCTGTTTTTCAAAGTGCACAAGTGCACTTATTTGCAAAGCAATGGTCTTGTCCAGAAAAACTTTTAATGGAGAAGTGCAACTAACTGTAAATAAAAATCTAAACAGAGAAGACTTACTGGCAGCACTTCATGGAGGAGGAACAAAGCAATCATAGGATATACAGAGCAGAAATAGCAGGAAAAATACTTTAAACTTAAGTGTTGCATCTGGTCCACTGAAGCTATGCCTGTGCTTTTAAAAGATTGTTCCAGTATGTAGTGCTGCAAGGATTATGAAATTCTTTTTAGTCTTGGGTTTCTCAGGATTTTATTTAGTAAACTGCAATATCTGCATAATCTGGTTTAATAAAAACAGTGAAATTTGAAAACATGACTGTTTACGTTCCAATTTAGGCTCCTGATGGTAGCAGCCCTGTAGTTTAGAAGTTCTATGTATTTGTGACTTCTGTTGGTCTACTAAGGTTTTGTTTTTCTGGAAATTGCAAACCTTTTTCTAAGGGGTATTCTCAGCATTTGAGAGTCACAGAGAGCAACTGAGAAGCGGCATGCCTGAAAGTAGTATGTGTTTCTATTTGTACATAAAATTTTTAGTATTTTCTCTAGTGGTTGTTAATTTAAGATCTCTTGCTGTTATCCAGAATAAAAAATTATGGTATGCTTTAAATCAGTGGATCAACCCCTACCCCCTTTTGTTTTTTAATAGGGCTGTACCAGGACTTTTAGGTACCAGAGCAGATTTCAAGAAGAAATTCTCTGACCCAGTGGAGCACGGCCAGAGGCACACTGCAACTAAAAGGGAGCTAGCAACAGGCCGTAAAGCCATGGTGAAGCTAGCAAGAAAAATGTCTGGCTGGTTCCTGAGGCGCACCAAAGCCCTCATCAGCGACCAGCTGCCCAAAAAGGAAGACAGAGTAAGAGTGCCTTCACACCTCAGATGCAATGCTGATGAATGTATCTCTTCTTTTTTGTCTTCCTGTTGCATTTTCTCTCTTTCATCATGTCTGTAGTAGTTTCTGGTTTCCTTTCGTCTTAAGAACTTTAATCTATAGCTTTGGAAAAGATGCACTTTCGATAGTGTGCTTTGTTCGCATCATTATACGATTGCATATTGAAAAGGAGTCAGTTAAGCCTGAAAATGCTCAGCTAGTCTTCTGACTAGTGATTTATACATGTGTTCTAAGTGTGTTTGTGTACTTATCTGTGCAAACCCAAAGCAATGTATGTAAATCTCTTGAAATTCTATGTAGAACTTCTGAATCTGCAGCTTGATGCTTTGTGTATGGAATAGTGAGCTTTTTAACTCCCTCATTTTCAATCCTTAAATAAAAGAAAAACCTCAGGCACAAAGCTGATTCTATGATAAATATGTAATCCTGTTCATCTGGTGCAATTGTAAATATTATAAGAAGTGATAATACTTTGTGAGTATAGCTAAGAGTTCTGATAAATCTTTCCTTCTAAGTGGACAAATAAATAAATTTGCAGCTGGTTTTGTTTTCAAAATTTGGTATTTTTTCTTCATCCATAGTTTATAATAATGTCATCTAAGCTGTCTTCTGAAGGAAAGATTAACACAAACATCAGTCAGTCGCTTTTCTGAATCTAGCAGGTTTTATTCTTTTCATTATCTTGTTAATGTGAGTATATGTTCAAGTTACTGCTGTATTATTACGGCTCAGCATGGTGCTGCTGCTGTGTGGGTAGCATAGGTTAAGGAATGATCTTGGGATTTCTGTCTCCTGCTGCTTAAGACTAAAGACGTCATGGAGATGCCGCCCGTGGTCTCTAAGAAGAGGGATCAGAGTTTTGGCCATAGCACTGTGTAGATCCTTGCCTTGTCATTGCTTACTCCGTTTGTCCTGCCTGTGGTGGTGCCCTACAATAGCCAGTGCCTAAAAAAGGGAAAGAAAGGGCAAATTATGCACCTTGCAAGGCAGAGGGGAATCTGTAATTAAAAGTATGCATGTATTTATCTTGCTTTTCCTTCCTCTTCCTTTTCCTCCACAAAAGCCATACTGAAAGGTTTTGAGAAAATTAACAGCAAGTTCTTGTAGCTTGACATTGATACTCTTTGTAGAATTTTGGGATGGAATAAAATAAGCATACATAATTTTGGCTACAATTTCATGCTGTTTTGGTGTCAAGATCCACATTTTTTTCAGTTGGTGGTAGGAGTTGAGCAAGTATAATATTTATTTCTAATTTCAGTGATCTGTGATTTCTGCTCTTTGATGCAGTGCTTTTTTTGCCTTTCATTGTACGTTGCACATAATAGCGTTTCTTGGGTTTTCTCTTCGGCAGATGGTGTATTGTTCCCTGACTGAATTCCAGAAAGCTGTGTACCAGGCTGTGCTAGACACAGATGATGTAACCTTGGTGTTACGAGCAGGAGAGCCCTGTAGCTGCAACAGTGGACGCAAAAGGAAGAACTGTTGTTACAAGGTAAGAATTTGCAGTGTTTGGATTTTAGGGCAGAGTTTTCTGGAATTCTTGAGAGACTTTTCTGATCAAGAGCTGATTGAAATGTCTGCCTAGCTGTAGGCCATCTTTTTGGGAAATCCCAACTGGGAAACGTGGGTGGCATCACAACCATGGGGGAGTTAGGCACTTTGGGATGCTGCGGAGCTTCTTTGCATGCCTTGAGGGGGTGGTTGTTATTTATGCAGCACATTCTGGATCTGTTGTATTAATAAGTGTCCCTGTGATGCAGTTGGTAATGGCAGGGGTACTTCCTTAGGATGTTCAGTGTGTGTCAGGCGTGCTGCTCCCTCGTGCCTCAGGTGGTCTGTGCAGAAGCTGAACTCTGCAGGCTGTCTGGGCTTTGCTTGTGTTCTGGCTGCGGTTGGATGGGTCTTTCTGTACCATTCAACATGCACTTTGTTTTGCCTCGTTGAAGGGAGAACTGTAACAGCAACCAGAGGGAACAAGCTGAACTTTGTCCAGTAGTAACAGCTTTGCAGATCTATTCAGTCTTCTCTGGACTTCTTCAATACTCAGCTGGTCTAGCCGTGTGTTTGGTTTGCCCGCGTCACTCAGTAGGCTCAGATTAAACACCTCTTTTAAACATTTGGAAGCCTTTGTCTCATACTTGCTTCTCCCTGTTTTCTTTCTGACATGTTTTGATTCTTTTGTAGTGTTTGGGGCTTTTTTCTAAAGGATGTTATTCAGTCTTCGGCATCTTTCTTTGTGAACAATCCCCCTATCAGTCCGTTTAATATTCCATGGATACTAGGCTACTTTGCAGGCTTTTGTTTCTTGTATGTTTTGTAGAAAGACCAAAATGCTGTTGAACTTGATTCACAAAGGGCAGTAGGCAGGCCTGCAGATGGTTAAGTGATCTTATGGACTGTCTTACTCCAAAGTTAACCATGAAAGTTAGAAACTCGAGAAGGGAAAGGAGAACAAATATTGATCAAAATCAGCCAATCGTAGCCACAAAAATAGCCGATGCAGTGGCTGCTGCTGTGTTGTGAATGGATAATTGAGGCTTGAATTATGTTCAAAATCTTACATTTTTACTGTAGAGAAAAGAGAAGGTAGGAGTTGCAGGGTAAGAATCATTCAAACAGCGCTGGTTTGATTTACATTTAAGTCTGTCTTAAAGTTAACAGTTTTTTACATACTGAGCAGTTCTTGGTTATCTTACTGTGACATCGACAGAAATTACTGTCTGAAATGTTTAGCAAACTCTGAACACAGCTGTAGGGTTTTTTCTGTTTGAGAAGATGTTTCTATTAATAGGATCACAAAGCTGAGGGGAAAAACACCCCTAAATTGCTTCTTTTTTATCAGAAATACAGTACACATCTTTTGGGGTCAGTTATAGTTCTACTTAGAACTGTAAATGCATTTATTTTAGATTATTACTTATTTTCAGGAGTATTTGTTTGCATAAACTTTCTTTTTTGTAGGTAAATGCACATGGTGAAACAATTAAGTCTCTGCGCTTCAGTTACCTAACGATCCTGCAGAAGGTTGCTAATCACGCTGCACTGCTGCAGACAGACAACACGAGCAAGCAACAGGTTAGTTTCAAAAGTATCTTGTGGAAAATGGAATGAAAACTCTTGAATGAAAATTGTTACTGACTTTCTGAAGTCTTAACTAACTGCAGTGAAGATATTTTGCAAAATTCCTTTTCCATTCAGTATTTCAGAATGCAGAGCTTATAAAAACATAATACAAAACAGTCTGTTCATTTAGTTGATGTATATCTGAAAATAAGGGCCGTAGAAACATCAGAGAGATTAGGATGGAGAGTAATTTTTAGTGATTTCTAATAGTGCCTTATCTGTTACATTTATGATGAGTGCTGATAACAGGAATGACTTTGTGCAAATAAATAAATAATAGGCAATTAGGGAGCGCTTTTTTTTCCTCTAGATCTGATTTTGTTTAAAGTCCATTTCATGTTTTAGGTGAGATATGTGGTGGTTTTTTTCTCTCTGGAAAAGTGGACTTACAGTGTGAGGTCATGTTCAAGTTCAGACCTAAATTCTAGCAATGGAGCTTCATGTGGCTCTCAAAGAGTTTAATTGCTCTTCCTGTGCAGTTTGTTGTTGTATCAGTGGAACAATATGTAATTCCCATATTGGCTTGTTGTGCCAGTGAGTCAAGGGGAATGCTGGTACAAAACTGTTGGGTAATGCAAACCCGAAGGCAACAAAATTTATTGAGGCTTACAGTTCTGGCCAATCCTTTTGCAGTTTTTGGCCAGGAGAAGAAACTTTGAGCACCTTTTACTCTGGTAGCTACAATCCATGATTTCAGATTAACAATCTCTTTTGGTTTTAAATGAAGCAAAGCAAAGCACACAGGGGGTGTTTTATCCAGCAGTTTTGTAGTGAACTGAATAAAAACACACAGAACTCTGCTTGAGTTACTTTGGAGATCACATTTCAACCTGTTTAACTTCTTGTATGGCTTACTGGTATCCCAATAAAACTCTGATTTTTAAAATCCATTCAATCTTTGTGCTTTTCTTCCAGGAAGCACATATCAAACGAGTCTGCAGCCAGGTATTTTCCAGTTTTCCAGATTTTGTGCAGTTAAGCAAAGATGCAGCCTTTGAAACCATTTCGGATCCAAAATACAGTGGAAAAATGAAGGTAAACCCATTCCTTAGAAGAAAAATAAATATTGTTAATAATAACAGATCTGTGCTGTAGTGTATGGATGTAAGGAATACATGGATGTACACCTAATAGGTGTGGAGTTTTTAATCATTGTATTTATGGTGGGTCGTGCCACAACAGATATCTCCTGTCATGGATCGAGACACGTCTGGACAAAGACTGGATAAGAGTGTTCTGTGATGCCAAGATATTTGGGGATGTTAGCTTCGTGTGTAATGGTAGGCATGGAAATTACTCTTACAGTCGACAGAATTTTGTTTCATGAAACCATGGATTCCAGTGGCAGTTGGGAATAGTTGGGAAAGAGAGCAAAACAAAATCATTATGGGCTTAATAATTTGTGCATACCTTTAATATTGTGTGTACTGCCAGTCCCTCCTCTCAAAAAGCACGTGTTAGACCTTGAAAAGGTTCAGAGAAGGGCTACAAAGGTGATTAGTAACTGTGGGTCAGAAGCAGCCAAGAAGGCTGAGACTCCCCAGCCTGAAAATGATGTCTTAAGGATGAATGTGAGCGAGACCTACACAATCATAAGTAGTATGAATCTGGTGAAGATGTAGTGATTGCTTACTGACTTTTGGAACCCTTGGACATTAAATGAAAATATAGAAGTCAGTGCTAAAGATGACCAAAATAAATGTGTTGAGTATGAATCTGTAAAACTCCTGACCTCAGAAACTGTCTCTGTCTGGTTTCAGAGAGGAACAAAAGATGTTTAATGGTGTCTAATGCAGCTGAAAAAGAAGTCTGAGGTACCTAACTAAAAAGAAAGCCATACTAGTTTTAGGAGTGTTCCTGGGCTGAGAGTAACCGAGAAATTAGAAGCTGTGCAGGATCTTTTCTCTCTGTAAGCCTGGTTGTTCACAGTTTCTGTTTGGGACTGGTGGCAGTGGGAAGACCACATTGTTGTAACAATAATGGCTATTACCACTTCACTAATTTATTATGTGAGCAACGTCTTTCTTTACTATTATTACATATGTGTGAGATACCTGCATATTAACTTTGTTGTATACTTAATTACCTCATGAAAATTAACTTTATCTTTTTATGAAGCAATTGTCTTCTGGAAAAGCTGACAGCCTATGGCTTGGACAGGCACATTCTTTGCCAGGTTAAAACCTGGCTGGATGGCTGGCCCAGAAACTGGTGGTGAATGGAGTTACATCCAATTGCTGTCTGGTCACTGGTGGTCCCCCAGGAATCAGTGTTGGGCCCAGTCCTGTGTTGATGATCTGGATGAGGGGATAGATAGATAGATAGATAGATAGATAGATAGATAGATAGATAGATAGATAGATAGATAGATAGATAGATAGTAGAAGGAAATTCTTTATTCTCAGAGTGGTGATGCACTGGAACAGGTTTCCCAGAGAAATTGTGGATGCCCCATTCCTGGAAGTGTGCAAGGCCAGGCTGGATGGGACCCTGAGTCTAGTAGGTGGCATCCCTGCCCATCCATGGTGGTGTCCAACCCACACCATTCCATGACTCTCTGATCTCTGTGCCTGGAACGAGTTTTATGTAGTGGGCTCTGTAGTCACACTGAAAAATCAGCTGGGTTTTAGTCCATTAATGTTGGCTTCAGAATAATGATGATGCCAAAAACTAGATCATAAATGTTTGAGGCGGTGACTTGCTTTTTTTGCTTTCTATTCCAAATTTTAAAGAGGAAACTGTTTGTGTTGATTTTGGGTTTTATGCTGTGGAAGCAAAACCATTCAGGAAGTATTTAATTTAGAAAGTCCTCTTACCATGAGAAAGTAATCACAGGAGAGTCAATAGGCACTAGAGCTTGAAAACTACTTTGTCAATTTTTAACATGTTTATTTGGAAATAACTGAGACAAATTATAGTAAAATGTTTTTAATAACATTGTCACACTGTAGTACATTTTCTGTTTCATAAATAAATTCTAGAAACTACTTGAAATTCTTTTGTAACTTTCATCTGGTAGTGTAGACTGGATAGGTATTACTTAGTCTTTAAAACTAATATTTAGTACAAACTACACAGACATTTTGGTACTGGTGATTATTCTTTTGTAAATAAGAATAGTTGCAAAGTTTTTGGCATTTTTTCAAAATTTATTCAGGGAAAGGTTGGGATTTTTAATGAAGTTCAATAGCTAAGCTGCTGTAACTGTTTTGCAGAGTTGAACAGGTTAATCTATCTGCCTAAAGTTTCTGTTATTCCCTAAGCAAGCAGAGATAGAACACATAGGAAACACAGCTTTTTCTTTTATGGGATATGAATTATTTCTACCAGTAAAACTAGAGTAGTTTGTATGCAAGGGTGAGAGAGTGGCCTGTGTGTGGTGTTTGTGTCCTGCCTTGTGCTGTGGCTGCAGTCATCTCTCTGGTACCGTGGGAGGTGGCTAATGCACAGTAAAGTGATCTGAGTGAGCTTCTGCTTTTATTCGTGAAATTAGCCCCTCATTTTCAGTCATACTGCACAACTTACAGTGTTTGGACTTTGCCTACACTTGGTATTTCAAGGTGAACTTCTTGCCTAGGTTTTGAAATAGAAATAACTGAATATGTGAGAATTGAATGAAGGGAGTGTCCTGCTTTGTTTGAAAACCACCGGTTTTGTGTCATGGTGTAGGGCAGTGGGAACCTGCAAAGTGTGAGGACAAGTGGTTCACTGCTTTGGAAACACGTTTGCAGATTGTTCACACACAAGTACTGGGGGCTGCTTGGAGAAGAAGATGAGTGAGCATAGCTTTGCAGGCCTGCTCATTGCTACCTTGTCTTATTATCTCTGCAGTTTTGTTAAAATTCTGGTCGGAAAGACTCTATAAGCATTTTAATTCTAAAGGGCTATTAAATGTCTGGGCATTTAAAATAGCACGTGTAATGTTTCCACATGTAATGTTTCCACACACATCATTTTAGGGGTTATGGACTACTGTTCTTAAATAATGCAAATCTCTTAGGAATAACTGCTGGGTTGATTTAATAATTTTTACTTGGCATATTATCATTATTTCAGTAGAAAATGAGAGTTTGTTGGAGTACTTTGCAAATAATGATAACTTCCTCCATTAAATATAGTTCTCACCCAGAGAGAGTACTAAAATACTGCAGGCTAACTTGAACATATGTGTACAAAAAAGATACTCTTAAAAGCAAGAGGTAAAATTTCATCACACAATGTGTAGCCATGGGGAGACGTTTAAATCCATGTGAACTCTTACAAAGAATTCTTACTTTTGCTTGAGTATGACCAAATATTTCTGGTTTAGACTAACACCATACAGGATAGTGCTCTGGTGCTCAAGTGTAGAATTTATTTCTCTTTGGTGCAAAAACATTCATTACTTTTCCCTGTTAAGAGTTGTTCTTTATTCAAGAATACCTGAATTCCCAACAGGGATGAAATTGATCCATTTTATTTAAGCAAACTATGTGGATTTGTTTTTGTGTTCCCGTATAGGAAATTCGTGATTTGACCTGTACTTTAATAATAACAACAACGGAGTAGCCAATTCCTTCTCCTTTAAAAGAATGTCTTTGTTTTTGTTCTGTTTTCTTTTCTTAATGTGGCTATATAAAATGTAAATTTAAGTAGTATAGCTCTTGTTAAGTTGCCCATTGTGAATTTTTTTTTCTCAAGTAAAAGAAGACTTAGTTTGTATATTCATGTACAATGGAACCAGACCAAAAAAAAAAATCTTTTTTGCCTTGTTTTCACTTGTAACGTGCTGGCTGACATATACTAAGTGATGTATAATTTCTGGGTTTTGTTCTAGATATTATCCAGAATGGTGAAGTTAATATAAACATTCATCACTGTTTGGTTGTCAAAGATTTGTTAGGCTTTGAGTAAAATCAGTGTTGATTAACAGTTTATGTATTTATCAGTGAATAAATACAATTTTTTAAATATTTATTGCCTAGTGGGAGAAAGCTACAGTCATAGTAGAGAAAATTCCTCTTTTCCCTATTGTGTACAACTTCTGCACAGTACTCTGGAGCTGCCATTGCCAGATGTGGACATGCCTCTTTTGAAAATAACAGTATCACTATTATACACAAGGCTCTGGATTTTTTGCTTCCCCACCAGAAGAACATCGTGTGTGGGCGGATTATTGGCATTTCAAGGTCTGTGCAGAGTCTGGGAAGCTGGATCCTACTGTAAACAGAGCAACAGATGAGAGTGGGAGTGGGGAGGGGCCTACATCTCACTGATTATTTTAAGAAGGCAAGTTCTAAGAAGTTCTAAACTCAGATGTACGACAGAAAATTTAAACAGACCTTTGACTTTTCAGGGTAAACGTGTGCATTTTTTTAAATACAAAAACTCACAGTCTGAGCTAGCGTGTGACATAACTAACTTTTCGTTGCAGTCTGTGCACTGACACAAACAGGTTCTGAATTTTCTTCTTAGTGATCTGATGACCTTTTCACAGCAGGAAAGATCACTGAAAATTGAAAAGATCACTGTAGATCGCTGAAAAATCCAGCATTTCCATTACCTTTGGCACATTTATTATGTTAGTAATGATTTTTGTTATGCCTCCATTTGGCTTTGCAGATAATCACAGTGCACCCTGTTTAGAGGTTGAAAACATGAGTAAGTGTCCATGATATAACTTGTAGATAAAAATCTCTTCATTTGTGTGCTCTGGGTCATTTACAGGTCCTGCAGCAGCTTTTACACCACTTCCGAAAAAATAAGGATAAAGTTCTTCTTTTCTCCTTTTCCACGAAGGTGAGCTCCCTGTGTTGTGATCAGTTAACTGCAGCAGCAAGCTCTGAAGTGTGGAGCACTGACGTGACACCTGCCAGCCACATTTCCTTACTGCCTGCCCTGTGGGAAGGAGTTACGAGGACAGTGTGCTGTGCTCCAGAAGTGTGTTGAAACCCTACTTTATCTCATGATAAAAGTGGTGATGGCAAAGCAAATGTAACGCCCTTCTGTCTTCCTTAGAGCTTTGTAAGACTGTCGTGTTACTTTAGAAAGCTGAGTTCTGGTTGTGTGTCTTGAGTTGGAGCAGTGTCACAGCACAGTGTGACTGCAGTACCATTAAACCTTTGTGTTAGCACTGAAAGTCGTTGAATTGCCCCTGTTCTGCTGATTTTTGACCATCAGCAGCAATGACACTTCAGTCCTGAGGCTTGCTGTACCAGTTGATTTGAACTGAAAACAGTGTTTAATTGGAGCAAGAGGTATATGTACATTTCTCTTTTCAGGGACTTGCTACTTGATTTTCTTCTTAGGGAGTAATATGTTTCCTGAAATCCTGCACTCTGTAGTATCATTTTCTTTATTTAAATATTTTTAATGATAGCACTAAAAAGTATTTTTAAGAAGTAGTACTTTGAATGATATTTCAAAGTCTTAAATATTTAATTTTTTTGGCTGTAAAGAACGTGAGTTTAATGTTTAGATGCAGTAGTAGAGAACTCGTATGTGCGTTATCACGTTCACCTCCAGACTGACTCCTGGTTACTGCAGTCTCTTTCACTCTGAAACCCTGACTGTGTACTCTATGCTGGCTCCAGTTATCGTTTACTGCATTTCAAGTAATTGCAACTTGCTAGGATGGGAGGAAGCTGTTCCCCACCTGCTTATTGGGTGAACTGATTGAGTGACAGAGGTGAAACAGGCAGCCAGGGCCGGAGGATGGAGTGAGGCTGCAGCAGACCAGTATCAATCACCTTGAGTGCTGTAGAATCATGACTAAAGAGAGTCATGAATGTTGATGCCAAAATGGTGAAGGTTTAGTCTCATTTGCAGTGCTTGGTCTATTGAAAATATATTTGATAAACATGGCCTCTGTGATCATGTTTAATTAAAAAGATAGTATTTAAGTAAATAAATTCTTTTTCCCCCTTCATTTTTCCACTCAGTTGCTAGATGTGCTGGAACAGTACTGCATGGCGTCTGGGCTGGATTACCGAAGACTCGATGGAAATACAAAATCAGAAGATAGGATGAGAATTGTAAGAGAGTTCAACAGCATTCAAGAAATTAACATATGTCTTGTATCTACAATGTAAGAAAATTTAAGTTGTAGTTTGTTTTAATCTGTGTTTCTAGTGTTTAATAAATGGGTTACTCTGAATTTTTCTTGGTGACCTTGTGAGGGATTACTTTTCTGAGCAAGTGAGTTGTTCTCTTGTCTGTTAGTGAGTACGGACTTACTGCTGTGGTCTGAAGCTTCTTAAAATTTATGGAGGCTTCCTCCCTCTCCTCTGCTTTATAAGGATTTCTAAGATCTGAAAGATCTGAATCCTAGTTTTAAATTTCCAGTTGTTACAGAATGGAGGAAACCATTTTAAATACTATTACTACATTATTATTATTATGTCATTATCCACAAAAGACTTTTCACTTTATTGTAGGCAGACTCAATTCCTTGTATTGTACTGGTAGAACTAGCAAGTGAATATGAAATGCTTTGAACTGAAAAATTCTCTCACTATTACTGTAATTTATTAACCATAGTAATTAGCATGTCTGTTTACTGCAGCAAATCCTTGATTGTCTTCTAAAAATGTATCTACCTGTCAAGATTTGCTTGTCAATGTACAGTGGGTGGTGAATTCTTTTGAAACAGATTAACAAACAATGACTATTTGTTTGTTTTATTCTGGTGACTTCCATGCTTCATCTTGGGTTAAGCTTTTTACTGGGCAAGGACAGAAAGGGAACAAAGAGAAGCTTTCATTGTCCTGCTCAGAAGTGAAAATGGAGTGAAACTTGATGAATCATTCTTGACTGTACAGTCAAGTCAGTTCTTTACTGAGAGTTCACATGTTGGGGTTGGGTAGGAGGATCCACACCACCTCTGTGAAATTAGAAGTCAGACATTAGGACTGTTGCAAGCCCATGTCAGAGCAGTCTTTATATGCTGTTTTGCCTATGGATAAGGTTGCGAAGAGGTTTGTGGTGTTGGTTATGCACACTGGTTTGTGTCTCTGTCAGCTGTGGAATCTGGCCATCAGCTTCTCTAAGACCTCCATGAGCCCCGAGTCCTTGTCTCTGAAGACAGAGGGAGGAGTTACTCCATCCACAGCATCAGGAAATACTGATTTTGGCTTCCAGTAGTCTCACTTAGCTCTGTAATCATGGCCTTTTCAGTCCTGTTCCATGGACTTCCATGGAAGTAAAAATGAAGGCCAATTAAACAGAAAGCAACTGTCTCCTCTCTGTTGTGAGAGCTTGTGAATACAGAGACTGGTGAGCCTTCCCTGCCTGCTGATGGGGCTGGAGACGGGAGCCTTGATTCTGTTCGTTTTGATGTTACTCATCTGGCAAAGCAAATGAAAGGAACAAACCTGTGATGAAATTGCAGTCAACGTGACCAGTGTGTACTAAGCAAAACAGGAGGGGCAATTCCTTGTCTGGTTTATCACAGATAACAGGAAGTGATCTTTTTGCGTGTTTGATACACAGGAATGGAAGCAGCTTTACATTTGTAATCCTTTGGAAATAAGAAAGTCATTTATCCTAGTTCTGCAAGAGATTAATCTTTACACTTACTCAGATTTCGGTATATGTACAATAATAATATACTTTACAACATATTGGGTATTTTTCAATACATAGTATGTTTACAGAACTGGGTCATGCTCTTCTGTCTGTACTCTCTTGCAGAGTTTTTGGCTCACTGTTCTGGGTAGTCAACTTGTGGGTTTTCAAGTCCCATTCCTCAGAAAGGCAAATGCTGATTTTCACTGAGAATACTCGCACAGTCTTTTGCATGTAGAAGTGCATTCTGCCAAGGATGAATTCCCTGCATAGTAATTTTGAGTCTGCCATTATGTTCACTGGCACAATTAACGTGCCATTTTAAAACAGATAGCACCAATCTTTTAAATCAGCTTGACCTCAAGTCTTGCAGTTAATATTGGTACCAAGCATAGGCAGATGGCCATGCCTGATGCTTTTGTTGATAGCTATGGCTAATATAGCTTTATGGATACATATATTTTATAGGTGTTCAGAGAAAATATAATTAATTTCTTCAGAGCTTGTAAATTCCGTCAAACCATTAGATAGAGGTCATGGATTTCAGACTTGAGCACTAGGGAAAAATAGGTGTACATCTGTTGGAAGTTCCAAGTCTCATGAAGTAATATCTGTTTGTGAATACTTCAGTCCTGTGCTAGCACTGCTGGGAAAAATGTGTGATTATTTGGAGAAGGGGATTTTTGGGCATGCTTGGAAACATTAAAATAGTTGCTGGAGTTGCTCTAACTTAATAGGAGAATGTCAGAGCTTGCAACTCCAGTGGTGCTGCTTAGCCTGGAGAAGGGAAACTGTGTACAGTACCAAAGTCAACACAGTTCTGTTCCGTCGTAGTGTTGTGGAAGAAATGAGAGCAGCAAGTATTGCCGACTTTAAATCACCATTTCTGGAATTTCTATGCCAGTATTTCTCTAGATTCCTTCAGAATAATTGTTAATGGAAGTTAATTTCTGCTTCTTAGTTATCTTTGTTAAGAGAAGTGCTTAGGGAAATTTGTAGGTAGTTTTTTTCATGAAAGATTACATATGCACTTCCCTTCTACCTGCAGGATTCTCAATTACTGTCCATTGCTGGACTCCTGATCGTTGCTTTTTACTTTTACAGGGCTTCATTTAACTTGAATTCTTCTCACCTATGTTGCAAATAACTTCTAATGCATGTGTGATAACAGTCAAAGAACTTTAAACCACGAGATCTCACTGAAAAAGAGAATGTAGGAACTATGAAAAACTTACCTTGGTGAACAGAATTACATCGTCAGAGCTTTCCTAGAAACTTTCCTAGTGCAGTATTGTTCTGTAACTTCTGAATGTTGAGGTAATAAGTTGTGCAGTTTTAAATAAGATGATCTTTTGAAAACTGTAACAAAACTCTTTATTTGAGCCATATTATAGTTGTTTGCATGGATGAAATTGCAGTAATGGCTAACAGCTAATTAAAATGATAGTTAAAATGGAAGATATGTTTTACAGTGCACAAATGACTGCATTTGTTCTGTCCAGGAAGGACATAGGAGCCATTCTTTTTCTGTTTTAGAGTACCTGAGGTTTTGTGTCACACTTAAAAATATTGAAAGGTGAAATTATTATAAAGCTAAGTATCCTGTTTAGTTTTTATAGATCGTCTGTTTTACATGTTGTCTTGTGTTCTAGTCCAACTGCAGGGTTAGTTTGGGAAAACAAGAGGCTGAATTCTGTTTTCATTGGAAAGAAGTACATTACATTTCCAGAATACCACAGTGTATCTGAAAAAATGCAAATATTTTTATTGAGCATTTCAAACTTTGAGAACGTGCATCCTCCGGAAACATCTGTTAATATTGGCAGGTTCCCATATCCTCTGCCTTTCCAGATTTAACTGGAACCCAACACCACATCACACCTGGAAGGATAAGGCCACAACTGCATTTACATTGAGATGGATTCCATGAAAACCAAAAAGTGGTGGGGCTCCCTAAGTTTTTGGTTCTGTCTCCATTCAGTCTTTTACCAGAAACTTTACTTTTCCTGTCTGCTTTAAGCAAGCAGGATCTAAAGTAGTCTGTTAAACCAGGTGCTTGGTGATTTAAATGGGATTGACTTCTTCAATTTTGTAGTAGCTCTTTCAGGAAAATAACGCTCTTGAAATTAGTGAATCCTATGTCAATGTGAATGTTTGTTTTAATAGTAACTAATAATAGTATTTAGCACGTGCCTGTATAGGAACTTGTCTCTGTTATGCGGTGGTTGGTTGAGCCAGTTGAAAAGAATATTCAGTGTTTGCTTGTTTTGCAGCTGGATGAGACTGGTATTTTCCTCACTTTTGTTCCTGTCAGATCATTCAGCTGTGCACATGCCAAACTCCAAGCAACTGAGCAGTTTAGTTGGATTCAGCAGTTAGCTGCCTTAGGTTCAAATTCTTTACTGGCTTGCAGGCTTTACCTGAAAGAGCAGTCCAGCTGTTAAATGCTTTAAGATGATGTAACTGTGACTCCCAACCCTCAGTGCAGACAGTTTTCTGACAGGGATTTTTTTCCTTGTGATGACTGGTATGAATATTGCTCATATGCAGCTGTGTGGGCAACTGTGTTTTTCACAGCCGAGTGACTTGCTGTACAAATACATTTGTGACAGCTGTTAATTCTTACAGTGTGACTCGCCGAGATTGTGACCATTTTAGTGGAAGCTATGTAGCATTATTGTTGAAAACTCTGTGCTGGCGTTAGAGCAAGTAACATTTCACCCTAAATTTTCCTGCTTCCATGGAGTTAACTGCCATAAAAGTGGTTATGAATTTCAGTATAATCACTGGAGGAGCTGGCCTGTGCAGGACTTTGTGGGAACGAAGTTAGCAACCAGGATTTTTAGTGAGTAAGCTGATAAGATTGGTTATGAGTCAGGTATTCATACAGTTTGTAGCAATCATGATGCTTAGGTGAGAAGACTGCATTTTATAGCAATGGCTGTTTGAGTACTTGGTGGTTGTTAATATGATAGGAACACAAAGCTCTACTGCAGTTTTCTGTAACTTTATTGTGTTCTTTTTTTTATGTTGAGAAGGGTATGCCAATATGGACCTGGTATAGAACATTTTTTTTCAGTGTTGTTTTTATTGTCATATAGTTCTATGTTTTTCATTTTTATATTTTTAGGGCTGGTGGACTGGGTCTTAATTTTGTTGGTGCCAATGTTGTTATACTGTTTGATCCTACATGGAATCCAGCAAATGATCTTCAAGCAATTGACAGGTACACTCTCAAAATGCAGAACTTGATCCATGTTGTACTCTTATTTTGCTTTCATTCTGTAATCTGATAGTCCAGCTAAAACTTTCCTCAAGGAAGAAATTTTTTACTATAACTTTCTGTGATCTCCACAGAATGTGTGTATGGTTAGCTGTCACATTTTTTGTGTTTTTCACGACAGAATACATTGTAGTTACCCTAGTTAAAGTGATGTTTTGAATTCCAGAACCCCTAAAGACAACCTTTTTGCTTCACCCTTGTGGAGATTTGTGTATTTCCAACGCTCAGTTCTAGCTCTTATGTTATGCTACTGGAGTATTTCTAGTAATACAGATATTTCTTTCAAGGTTTTTTGACTATGGGATGTTTTCCTAGGAATTCAGGGCAGACTTATGGCTGGCTGAAGTAAAGAACATTGACAACTTTCAAAATTCAGTAGATCTATATATTTTTATGAGCAGAAATAAAATTGTAATCTCCTGCAATTATATAATTCCATTTTAAGGGTCTTTCTGACTTCTAATATGTGTTTATGTTCACCTATTTGAGAGAAATATGTGTGTGTCAGAAACATGTATTGGGGACTGTCTTTAAAGAATCTTTGTAAGATCACAATTCTATGAATTGGTTCAGCCTTCTGTGAATTTCGTGGAATATAGTTTATAAGACATCTCAGAATTTACTGTTTGGATAGAACACTGCCAGTTTATTAGCTGTTTTTATGATGTTGTAACTTGCAAAGTGCTTTAGAAAGTTAGGAAAGAACAGACTGCTCCAAGTAATCCATGAGCTAATTCCTATTTATAATACAAATAGGAGAATACCTGAGCAAGAGCAGGTGTAGACGGAGAGGAGAAAAGAAAAACAAAACTAACCTGAGATACACAGAGTGGAAGGCGTGTTTTCAGAAGAGATGGGAGACAGTTCTTGTGATACAAAATGAGAAGAAAGCTTTTTAAACTGGATAGGCCTGCGGAGAAACATGGAATACTGAGGGTAAAGGAAAAGGAAATGAATTATTGAGGAAAATGTGGAAAAGAAAAACAACCCAACCAATACATGCATGATTTAACAGTCCTGTTTCATTAGAATGCTTTTACTTATTTTTTTGTTTATTTACTACCCCAAGAGCTCTCTTAAAATGTTTTCTGATGTGCCACTGTCCTTGCAGAGCTTATAGGATTGGCCAGTACAGACCTGTTAAAGTGTTTAGATTGATATCCTTGGGAACTGTGGAAGAGATGATGTACTTGCGACAAGTTTATAAACAGGTAAAGTTCACAAACTGCTTAAATTTGGAGCTCTTTTTAGCAGTCTTGGTGGCTGAAAGCTAATCTAGCCTATAGCAAAATTGTAATTTACTTTGGGTTAATGATATATGCTATTAACTTTCAAGGCAAAGATCATCGTTTAGCAATGTCAGAAGAATTGAGCAGAATTATATTTGCATTCAAGTTTTTCTGTAACTACCGACAGTTTAATTGTGCGATATACATTAATATTTGAAGACCTGTAACATGCATCTGGGATAGCTGTGTGGTTAGTATCTGCAGTGGTCTGATTTGGGCTGCTTTACCTTTTGAAAGTCTGGAGAAAGTAAAACAAGAGGCATGGTGACTCTCCCGACTGTGAAAACTTGCTGATAAAAGGAGGTGGAAATGGCTTGTAGTTGCTGCTGTTATGAAGATAAGAAGTGATACTGTGTGCCAGAACACTTAGCCTGGATCATTTGCACTGTCTTGCATTGATAGGCTTTGCTCTGGTTCTGTCCAGAACATGTTTTTTCTCTGCAAAAGTTGCAAGTTAAGAAATAAGATGACTGAATTTGAGGTTCTGATGTTATAGGCATGTAAACTGGGACAAAGGTAGAAAACCAGTGGGGTAAAGTTGTCCTGAAGAATACATTGCATAGAAAACATAAAAGTAGGTCACCTCAGTGGGAGAGTGATACTACATATTGAAAAAACTTTACTAGGTTTGAGGAATTAACCTAATAATTTGAATTTTTGGCCATAAATAATTAAAAGTTGGTAAGAGTCCTAAGTGACATGCAGTTGTAGTTTGGTTATTTACAGGGAGGAAGTTGGAGGCTGAATGAGTGGGAAATGCAGAAGTAAACAGATTGTCATTATTCTCCTTGGATTTAAGTAAATGACAAGTAAGAATAAGGTTCTAAGATCCTCTGATTTCACAAAGCAGAGAGTCAAAACCCCCACAGATCCAACCTTGAACTGCTCCCAGTAATGTAATGGCTTGCTTTGAAACCCTGCTTTCAAAACCTGATGGTGCCTTTTATGTCACTTGAATTCAGTGTTTTGTAGAAACCAACAAGCCATTAGAGTTCCACTAATTTTGACAAAATTATGTAAATTAAAAAGACAAAACTTGTTAAGGAGAAGTCAGAAGAAATAGGTGATGGGCTGAGGTGCTAACAGGTAACTGGGCAATTTGCAGAGGTTCTGCATCAGAAGCTCAGAATTAAGAAGACGCATTAGTAGTTGAAATCATGTGCTAACAAGACAAGTTAAATTTAATGCATGGTAAGTCCAGAATCTCTTTTTGAGGAACAGTGGTCTAAAAATATAAAAGCTAATAATTTATGGCTTTAATGTATCAGGAGTATGAATTGTACTGCTCTGTGACTATCACGTTATCAGGGTTTGAAAGAGTGTTCATTGCAAAAAAAGACACCTTACTTATTTATTCCTCATATCCACATTCATGGGAAAACGTGGAGAGGATCCTCTTTCACAGTTTCTATGTGCAAAGTACTTCTGGGGAGTCGTTTCAACAGCAAGTACCAGTAGGATAAGTCTCAGAAAGGCTAACAAAATGATCACTGGCAGGTTACAACCACCTCTATTCCCTAAAATCCTGAAGGAGGGGAGCCTGCTTCGCAGAGGTGTTGGGAGTTGGTGATCCTGTAGGAAAAGAAGACCTGGATATTGTCTGTTTTGATTTCCAGAAACCATGTATGGCTCCTGTGCCTTTTTTTTTTTTTTCTTTCAAATTGACTTGTGTTTTTCAAGTTTAATGAGAAGCAATAAACAGACCAGTAGTAAATCTGAGATTTTTTTTTTTTTTTTTTTTGGCTTGGATTGCATTCCCTTACTAAGTAAACATTCAGTGCAAAGGACAGTAAAAAAATAGTAATAATTTAGTACTGAGGAAAGCTAAGCAGCCAAGATGTAGGGGAGTGCCTCTAGTGTGTGTAGTTGGTGTCTGATATTAGCCATTGATACAGTAAAAGACTTCAAATATTTAAACTTTTAAAAATTCAGTAAAACCAAGCAGGTGGATGTTATACCACAATCTATTATACCAGCATCTGCCAGGGAAATTAAAACATCCTCTCTTAGGAATTTCCCCCTGCTCCAGCTAAAGCTGTGTATATAATGTGGATGCCAGGAAATTCTGACGTGTTGTTGCAGCAAACACTTCTCACATCTCTTGTGTTACTCTGTTTTAGCAACTTCAGTGTGCGGTGGTTGGAAGCGAAAATGCCAAGAGGTATTTCGAGGCAGTGCAAGGATCGAAGGAACATCAGGGAGAGCTGTTTGGGATCCACAACCTTTTCAAACTTAGGATTCATGGGTCCTGCCTTACCAAGGAAATCCTGGAGGTGTGAAGTGCTATCCTTTTACTTTTGGATGTTGGTTTTGCCTTTTTTGCTTTCCTCGTGAGGTTTTTTTTGTCATCGTTTTGAATGGAAACACTATAAAACAGAATGGTGAAACTTAAATAGTACTTGTCTGTGCAGTGACTTAAATGAAATAGGCATGCTAATTTCTCACTCTGATGTAGACCATAAGATTTTTTTGGTACATTTTTTTGAATCAAAGAATGGAAAAAGCTTGGATTATAATTTTCATAAATTTGCTAATATTTCTTAATGAAAGTGATTTAACTTATGTTTTGATACTTTCACATGTTGTCAGCTTTGTGCACAAATATCTTTTATTCATCAATAGCTCAGGTTGACCTTTTAAGCTGCAATTCTGAACATAAAAATAGTTTTTGTGATCATAGTAACTTTTGTAGTACATATTGAGGTGCCAAAAACTGTTTAATAAAACATATTTTATAATACTGTATTTTAGAATGTTATAGGGTGGAAGTAAGTAAATAAGTGAGGCTTCATATTTTGAAATTAATTTCTTGGTTACCCTGAAAAGCCTGTTGGCCCAATTCCACAGTGTAAACTGATCTGAGTATATGCAGCATTATGCCTTTTTGTATAAGGCATGTTTGCTCCAGCTAGCTTGCATCTTGAATTTTATTGTAGCTTCATTCTAGGTTTCTTTCCATCCTTCCCTTTATTTTGTTATTTTGCATGTGCTAGGAATTTAGTCTGGACTTTGTTGATTGTATTCCTGGTGCTTACACCTCCGCAGAAGGAAAGAAAAACCATTTGTTTTTTTTTTTTTTCCTGGGCTTGCCTTTTATGTGTAGTAAAACCTGTCTGTGTTTCTGTTAACATATTTGATTGTTGCAGAGGGAAGGGCAGGTGGAAGCAGGGGTCATGACAGCCACGACGTGGCTGAAGGAGGAGAGCGCTCCATGCAGCTCGGAGAAGGTAAGGTCTTTGTGGACTGTGGGCCAGAGCAGGACAGTCCCTCCAGGTTCTGATACTGCCCTGGGCAGTATGCTGTGAGGCTGAGAATGCTATTACCCTGTTGTTTAGAAGATTTTGCTTAGGGAATTGTGGAAAGGAGTACAGTTGGTGTAGACTGTTGAAAGCTTCAGGATTTGTGGAGATCTGACTGAAGACACAGGCTATTTAATTGTTCTACTCAGACAATGAGGCAGTGGTTCCCATCAAACCAGTGGGCTGTTCAATACTGTCTTTTTTTTAGTGTATTTAATTTCTTAGTGGTTTTCTTTTGGAACAAGATTTTTAATCTTTTTCTGGAAAAGGTTGATTTTAGTAGGAGTATTGCATTTATAGGAATGTTTTTGACTGAACCTGTGCTCAGGTACTTAGGGTAGCAAGCAGCTGGGTCTATAATATGGCCTGCAAGAGTAAGGGTAAGTATTAAATTAGATCACACTGAATGGCATTAAAAATTAGCTGCTATCTCCTATGCCTGTTGTAGGTTTCAGTGAGCAAATATCAGTATTAATTTAACATGTGCCCTCAGATTGATCATAACTCATATTGATAATACATCACTACCTGGTTGTGATCTCACATTGGACTTGGTGATAAACAATAGCTTTTTAAGCTTATGTTGAATACTTTTTGATGAGCAGGATGATATCAGAGTTAATATATTAATTTTAAAGCATCTCTTCATGTACCAAATGTCAGTATTTACCCTTCTGACTTTCCATTTACAGGTTGTCATAATTCTTGTCTCAGTAGTATAGATTTTTGTAGCTGTGTTCTGGATTTTGATATCTTCAAAATGTTTAAAAGTTGCCTGGGTATAATTTTGTTTGATTACAGTAGGCTTCAACTAATATTATAGTGGACTGTTGTGTACTCATGACTATTTTAATATTATTCCCGATATACAAGGTGGTTAACTACTGCACTGAGATTTTTTTTTTTAATGAATGTTATTACATAATATTAAGGCTTGAATCATGAAGTCAACTTTCAAACTACCTTTGAAAGATGAAAAGTAGCAATGAGATGAATATAAACTTGAAAATACGGGTGTAGATTGTGAAGACATAGGTTGTTTTACATTGTGCAACATATATTGTCTCTAATATGTAATATTAAATAATTATCTAATATTTAATTTTTAAACCAAAATTGTTGGTTATTTTTCATTGTTTTTCTGCTAAAAATTTTCAGCTGCCAGAGACTTTAATAATTTTTCATTATGATTTGTTTTGTATTTGCTTTCTATTTGCATTTTGTAATACTACTTTGTATATGTTTTGCTTGATTTCATAGTGAAAATCCACTTTTTTTATACTGCTTTGAAGTTAGGAGTGTTCCATATACTATTAAAGTTAAACAGCTCTGCTGTAATTTTTTTTTTTCTTTTTTTTAGTTTGAACAAGCAGACTGTAAAGAAGATGGAGATCCCCACAGCACTCATGCACAATTAAACAGAGAAGAAACAGATTTTTGGGGTGACTTCAGTGATGATGATATTCTGGAAACTTCTGTGAAAAAATGTGACAGAAGGAAGCCTTGCAATGCAAATAATTTAATGGTAGCAAAGGGTCAGCTTTCTTTAATGCAGTGTGGATTCTCTAAGCTGCTGCAGAGAGAAATTGAAACTACCAGAGAAGGGGGTGATAACTATAACTCCCATCAGTTGCCTCCTGATGATCAGACTGTAAGAAAAAGCGTAAATAGCAAGCACAGCGATTTTCAGAAAGCTGTTCTGTCAGCAGATGGAACTGATAAACAAGGTAGGCATGGCATAGACTGGCTTGACTCATCAGGCTCTGAGGAGGAAGGGGACACAGAAAATGAGGATCAAGGCATTTCAAAGCAGCCTGATATAGTAATGGAAACTGAAAGTAGTTCTGAAGAGGGGGATGATGTCATCCTTCCTACTCAAGTTCAAGCATGCCAGCAACCCGTGCTTACTAAAAAAGTTGAAATACACAGGTCAACGTCTGAGAATTGTAAAGAGTTAGCAAAAGAAAAGGATGGGTCTGTATTTAAGGGAGACAGCAGGCAGTTTGGATTCCACAGGGTTGAGCCATCTTTTGAAGACATCACAGATGACACAGATGACACAGATTTGAAAGGAGCAAGTGACATAAGTGATGAGTCTGATGATATTGAACTTCCCCATAATTCTAAATCAAGAAAGCTAGGATCTTTCAGCTTTCCAAAATGCAAGGAAAGATGTGCCCTTAGCGATGAACGAGGTAATGTCTCCAAATCTCTGCTACAAGCAAAGAAGCCCAGTCGAAAAGAAAAGGAAAGTGATTCACAGAATATAGATGAATTTTCATCCTCTGAAGATAACTCTCCAGTTGAGAAAACTGAGGCCCAAAAGCAAAAGTGTAAGAGTAAAAGACAGAGAGGCAGAGTTCAGTTTGGGTCTAAAACGCTGCGTCCTGTTCAAGATACCTCTGGCAGTTATGCTGTGCACAGAACTTCTGCAAGAAAAACTGAATTTGAGCATCAAGAGGAAAAAATGGAGTCAATGGACAGATATTTAGGTAACTAGTAATTTCATTTCTTTGATTTTATTTGAACTTGAGTAATAACATAGGTTTAAATTTACCATTGTCTGCGGGCTCTAGGTTTTTCTTGCTATACATGCTGTTTGTTACAGGGTACTAGTAAATGCTCTGCTAAATTAGTTAGTAACACCTTTTTGTATCTTTCTTTTTACCTATTAGTCTTACTTTCCTGTCCTCTGGGGTGACAGACTGCTTTGTGGTACTGTGTTCAAGGCTGACTGTCTCTTGAATGATGCTAAGATTGAAGATGTATTAAGAATTCACAAACTAAATATTTGAACTGCAAAACCTTAAAAGTCTTTACAGAGCTGTTAAATAAAAGCTTAACGTACATGGAAAAAAAAAAGTGATCTAGGAGTTTGAAATACCATGTAGAAGACTTGATTCTGTAAAAGGCTTAATTTTAAACATTAATATTGCAGCCACTAAAACATAGATAGATGCTTTGAAACTTCCTTGTCCACCTGAATAAAAACCCACACGGAAATTGAAGTAGTTTTAAGCTGTCTGGATAAACATCCTATTGGTGATAACCAACACTTGTGACTGTACCTTTCTCCCGGCGTGCCAGATGGTGTTCAGGAAGTGGCATATATTCATTCAAATCAGAACGTGGTTGGATCCAGCAAGGCTGAAAATCGCTTGAGCCGGTGGGCAGTGCGGGACGTGTTCGAGCTGAGGCAGTTTTCCCAGCTTCCTGCTAATGTTGCTGTCTGTAGTGCCAAGGTAAAGAGAAATGTTTGGGAACCTTGTTTTAACTCTTTTATCCTCATTTTTCATCTTAAAAAAGCTCTAAAAAACTTGTGTTTCTGTTAATGGCCACCATGGATGATCAAAGCCATTGAGGATGGGAGGAGGAGAAGGCTCAGTTGGAAGTCTAATAAATTATTTTTGTTTTTTTGGGGTGGCTTTTAATCAGCACAGTACCCTCTGTGGGGCTTTTCTGTGAGAGAAACAGTAAGATTAAAGATTGGGTGTTTGAGATCAGATTCTGTGCCATGTTTTTCTCATTTGAGCCTTGAAAATTCTTCAGTTTGTCCTGGATGCAGTTTAAAAAAATCCAGTTGCCACAGTACGTTCTGGAAAACTGTGTAGCATGGAAAGTCAAACATAAATCAGTTTGCAGAGTTTTTGTGGGAGGTGAATATATGCAGTTGCTATAATGAGTCAAATTGTCTAATGTCTGAAGCATACAGCTAGAGTTTACTGGGAGTGCCTGTTGGCAGCGACAGACAAATTTTATGCTCTTTGTTGGTCATGCATCTTGTTTAATTGCACTGGCAATACACACAAATCTGGAATAAATTCAGGTAGAGCTTCCAGATTTTTGTTGTCATTAGTTAGTGGTTTTAATCTACTCTGATTATCCAGATACTTTGTTGTTTCTCTTGTAATAAACATTTGCAGTTTCCTAGACTGATGCTGAAGAAGATAAACCACAAGCACAGAATAAGTAATTGGTGAATGTGCAGCTTAGTCTTCACAGACATGTTAGCAATCATTATAGAAATTGTAGACATACATCTGTGTTGTTCTGGGGTGCTGAACATCCACAGTGGCTGGAAGAGTTTCTTCCAGTGTTGTTGTTGTTGTTGTTTTACTGTATTTAATTAAGCCATTAGCACAGTTGCCAAAGAATTTTTATACTGGGAAGATCACACCAGGAGAACCAGTTAAAGTGGTGCCTTTTTAATTCTAACACATTTGCATTAGAATGTCCCTCATTTACAGAAAAGATGGTCAAAAATACTCAAAAGTACTTACTAATTGGCACTGGCTGACAGCAGTATTAAACTCAAATATAAATGAAAGAAAACTTTCAAAGAGAGTATTTTGTCTAAAAGTCTGTTGATCCACCTCTGTTCAAAAATAGTTTTGTTTTGTTCCTGTAACTTAGAGCCTATTTTGTGTGACTGCAAGTACTACAAAACAACTTCTCTTGATTAACTTGTCAGTTTTTATAAGGTAGGCATTTTTTGCTCAGAAGTAGCAGTAGTATCACTTCTCTTGGAGAACTAAGTAGGAAGAAAAATATCAAAAATTATAGAGAAGTCTGCCTCTTCCTTCACTTCCTGTTATTTCTTTTACTCTAGAGGCACCAATCCAGAAATAATCCCTAGATGATGGCCTATTCTTAGATGTGGCACTCTGAATTTTTTCTGTTCTGCTTAAAAAAAAGAGCTGCCAGAGCTTCATAGACAACTTTAAAAGATTCTTCTTTGTTTTACTTTAGAAGGCATTTTGTGAAAAACATGGCTATTGTTGTGCTTCTGGCCATCATTCTTTGCTGGTCATTTTTCACTTATTTCCCATCAGTTGAAGTTAGGACATTCACTGTCAGAGCAAAAAAAAAAATGCTGCTTTTATATAAAGTATAATGAAAAGCTTTTTTGACAGATTAAAGTAGCATCGTGTGTAATACTAAAAATACAGGTGATTCATTTAAATTTCCATCACTGTTTTAAGTAAATAAAATTACAGTTTTGAATGCTGGAATGTTAATTGGAAACTGATAGTTATTGAAAGGAAAGCAGAGTTTAGTCAGATGAAATTCCTGACTTATGTTGTCTTCTAGCTTCATTGGTCTAATGGAGTTTCTCAGAAACTGCTGTGTAGCTGTTTGTTTCCTCTGGGTATCAATGATCATATCCTTAAGTAGAACCTTTTTTTACGGTGTATTTATATTAGAGCTTTATTTGGCAGTGTCATGAAGGCTTCTGAATAATATTTTTTCCCTTGATAATATTTATGTCCCTTCTTAAGCACACTTAATCAAACTCTCTTATTTCTGAGTAGAAGTGATCAGGAAAGGTTATTTTCCTTTCATTTCATAGATAAGTCTACTTAGGACCAAAAAGTAAAATATCCTTTGTGCAGTTCATTTTACCTATGCCATCTGTATCTTCCTGCTTTACAGTTTCACTCAGCAGGCTGTCTGTAATAATGCATTTCTTATTTAATGTATTTTAAATACATTTTTCAAGTGATCACTAACATCTCTGTGGAAGGGGATCAGGAATTCTTAAAAACTAGAATTGTTCTATTGAAGGGGGTGAATTGCAAGTTGGGAGATACAGATTGCTCCAAACCTTGGTTGAAGACTTGAGTGAAACATTTTTGTTTCATGTTTACGGGTGAATCTGGAATGACGGTATAGTTAGCGGTTATAATAAGCAAAAACAATCAATAAAGAAAACCCCTTGTAAGAATATTTGCAGGTTGATTTCTTGCTGTTGGCTAGTCAACCAATCACATTTTTGCTTGACTAAATTTACATAAACTTTTATATCCTGTATTAAGTTCTTCAGTTTCATTGGCTAATTTATGGAAACTAGGTGAATAAAGAAAAAACAAGTTGCTGGAAAGCAGTAGAGAACAATGTATTCTTCCTGGTTTTCTACCTGTGTAGCTAAAAGGAGTATAAATTAGGTTTATCAGTGCTTTCTTTATTGCTGAAGCATGGAGACTAATGTAGTTGCTTGAGCTGTAGAAACTGCTTAAAGCTGGACCAGGCTGCAAAACCTGTGAGGACGACTCTTAGAAAGTGAGAGAGGTTGCATGGGAAGAAGATCCTTGACAGCCAAGGTAGAAGGGGTGGTGGGGCAGCAAATCTTATTCTTCAGGAGAGAAATTTGAAGGTATGTAGAACACCTTTTTTAAGAACATGAGTAACTAATGAACTTGGATTTAAATTAATTGTACAAAAGTGTAAGACTTGAACACTTTTTCTTACCCCAAAGTTTATCTTGGGGATAGTTACTTCCCTTATTTAGAGTTTAGAAGGTCTGTGTTAGATCTACACAGTTGCACTAGTGTAATTCACAGTCAAATAAATATCTCTTAACCTTTTGAGCTGTAGGATTCAATCAAGTTCATTGTTTTTATTCAGTAGTAAGTAGCCAGTCTGTCCTTAATTTTTCCTGTGCCTATTCCTATACCCCAGCTACCTTTTCTCTGAACAAATACAACATGTTATTTTAACCTGCTATTGCTCTGTACCGTTAAAGGCTTAAGGGAGGAAAATCTTGGTTCTTTTTATGAGAAATAGATTTTGCTGTGTTTCTTCTTTCTGACTTGCTTTGTTCTGCAGGTTCCATAAGAGTCCTGGATTCAAGACTCTTCTTTCCCCAGAGGTGACAGGGAGTGCAGTTGTACAGTCTATGTCAATTTTAAAGGAATTGTGCCAGCTGACAAGTTTAGCTGGACTGTTCACATTTATAGTTCTGAGGGCTTGTTTGGTGTGTATTTCCGTAAGTATTGTATGATTTTGGAAAATAAAGTTTGGTAGCAGCAACCAGAGTATAAAGTCTGCCATCAAGAAGCAAAAACAGGACATCATGAGAACCCTCTCACAACTTGGCAGCTGTGAAAGTTGAGATAAAATCCAAAAGTAGTAAATGTAGCAATATAAAACAAGCCAGCAAGAGAACAAAACCTATTTTGGTTTAATATCATTAATCAAAATAAATCCTGTCCAGCATCTGAATTAAAGAAAGATAGGTGTTTGAAGATAGCTTGTATATGACAATAGTAGAAGCAAACAAATGTGAAAAGGCTTTTGTATCACAGGATACTGAAGAAAGGAACATAAATTATGGGATATATTCCTTTTATCACATGGGATTGCATAAAAGTGTAAGATGATGGTCTAGCTATAGGTGAGTTGGAGTAGCATTCTCAATGAAGCAACACATTGTTATCTTGTTAAAGAACAGGCTTTCATAGTCATCTACAGCACTGGAGATTTGTTTGTAGTTTATTTTGCAAGTGTGATCAGGGAGGTACTTAAGAGACTAAGATTACCTGGGTTCTTTCACTGACATGGCATAATATCACTTAAATGTAGAATGCTTACAATTACAGTACAAATATCTTGATACCAACAGTTCCTGGATTGTACACGTTATCCTTTCTCTGAAGATGGTCTGTGTTCTGACCATTGCCCACGGTGTTGGATTGCTGTAGATTGTAGATGCCCAGAATAGTATGATAATCTTTCCACAAAGAGTTGATGTTTCTGATAGTTCTGCTTATGTGGAAGGCACTGATGTGTCAATAATGAGAGGTGCTTAGAGCCTCAGCAATCAAATCAAAGCCAGGGATTTTGGTTCCATGCAGAAGGGTGGCAGGCAGCTGTTTCTGAAGAAATTTCAGAGATACAGGTTACACTGTGTAATAAGTTAATCGTGACTTGTACTGTTAACTCTATATTATTATATATAGAAATATAATTTCCTGTATACTTCTAAAAATGTATTGTACATCCCAGAAGCTGAGTGTCTCAGAAAGCAGACTGGTGTATCTCTGTGCAATCCAGGATCTTGTGCTGCTTGTAATCTTTCATAACACATCTTAAGTGTGAAAGCATGAGTTCCAGTTCGAATTGTGATGCCATGATGCAGGGAGAACACACCAGGCTTCAGTTGTAAACACCTTGAGGGTAAAAAATGCACATCACTTAGTGTGGCATGTGGCCACTCCAGGAAAAATTGAGAGCTGTTCTTCATTGCTTCCTCATCCGTATGACAACAAAATACACTTGATGTGCTGTTTCTCAGAAGGTTCTTCATAAGAAAGGTCTGTTTTCTGGTCTGTTATGGAGAAGTGTGAAGGAAGAAGGTATATGGGAATTAATCTCTTGGAATAAATAGCTTGGTTTTTTCCTGCATTATTTTGCTGGGTTTAGCTTGATTTGATGACATGGAGTTCTGCATTTGTTTTTGAATTCAAGTCTTGAGAAAATAGACTTAATTAAATATTCATTGTGGTTTCATTAAAAAAAAAATATTACCACATTATTATTACCACATCACTATCTGCTGAGAACATAGCTGAAAACAAAAAAAAAAAGAACTCTCTTGTGTAACTACGGAAAGAAGCATATGGAAAACAAAAGCTTCTAAAAGCAAACGTGAAATGAACTTGTAGACTGGACATGGTGGACTTAAAAAGCCAGACTATAATTTTCAGAGCAAACCTACAGTTATTTCAGCCTTCCAGAGGAAAAATACAGTCTTGAGAATTCATGCGATATTTCACTCAAAATTATTCTGACTTTACTGCATTCCTTAGTGAATTTCCTAATTAATTTCTGTGTTAATTGGCAAAAACGGTCTATGTGAAATGTTTGACACCAGTATGGAAGTCTGGGATAGGCTTTCTCCAATTCCTGTAAAGCCAAATTTGTGTAGTTCTTCTTCAGTAGGAGTCCAGGGTGATGGGGGAGTCGAGTGAGCTTGGGGAAATGTTTGGAGAAGGCTTGGATGTTTCACAAAAAAGACAGTACATGGGAACAGGACACACTAAATAATGGGAAAACTGATGGTGTCCCACATTAGAGCTGATTTTCACTTTTTAGTGTGTGGAAAAGTGTTAACTGCAAGGACTTGTACTGTACCTGTTGAATATGTGGAGTCTCTTTTTTAGTCCACTGCATGTTTTCAACTTAAGTTTACTTTAAGTTCTGCTGAAAAGAAATGTACAAAGACAGCCATTCAATTGAGGATTAATCACTATGGCAACAGAAATGTGGTGACTGAAAAGGGGGAGGATATATTCTTCCCTCAGCTTCCTGCCAGCTGTCATATTCAACCTTTGCGGCATGAATTCAGGCCAAAATATAGACTGTGACCAGCTCTAAGAAACTTTATCTGTATTTTTATAAATTCGTACGAGAATTGCACTATAAAGGAAGACTTAATCCTCTAAATTGGATGACAGACATTTGGCACTATTGCCAATGTTTGACAGAGAAATAACGAGATGCTTTGTAGTAAAACCTGGATTAATGGTAAACCCCTCTTTATGTTATTGCAATGTGGTGTAAATGAAAAAACTAAGCATGCTGTCAGCCTAGGAAAAAACGTGCCCTTTTTATCTGCAATGCAGATTTAAGTACTGTTGAGAATACTGTAAATACAAAAGTTGTGTCATTAAGAACTCTTTATCTTATTTGTATTACATTGACATTTTGTAGATTTTTTTAAACAAAGACTTTCTATCGGTTGTAGGAATTCTGCAGTGTGCTTGCACAGCTATCAGATTCAACAAGTTTACAAAGAACAGGCTTTTGGGAGATAACATGCCTTTATCTTTGCTGGTCTAGGATGGTGAACTATTCAGCTTTAAAAGAATTGTTCCCACATGATTGGCCAGTAATGCTGCTTTACTGAGTTTACTTTTTCGGTTTAACCATTCCGGTATGGCTTTTGGTTGCGTTTTTTTAAATGTGGTCAGTTCATATGTGGCCTTCTGTGAGTGGCATTTTCATTATGATATGTGTACATGGCCTTTAGTTTTGCTCCTGTTGGATGGATGGCTGAGAAGGTGAAAGAAGATAGGTGTAAGTCCATGGACCTCTGCTGGAGTAAGCAATTACTTTAGGCTTTGAATTCTGAGACAGGCTGACTATCTCCTCTCATTCTCAACAATAGGAATGACTATGTTGATTTAAGATCATATTTTTGGTGCAAGACAGTGATCTGTCATACAGGAATTATTTTTGCTAAAGGCTCAACAGCTTCAATGAAACTGCTCCTAATAAAAAATTCGTGGTCTGTTACCTGACTGTAGAAGAAACAGACTCAGAAACAAATGTGAAGTAGGGCACAATCTGTTCTCAGTTGACTTTAGTAGTCAATTCTCCACTACCACACAAAAGAGCAGAGTTTGTGGAATGTCCAGTTTATTTATGCAGAAAAGCTGTTTGGAACAAACGGGAAAATTACTCATATTGCTTTAAATTTTCTTTAGTTTCATTAATTTTACTGGTCTCTTGGTTTGGCAGAATGTTTTGGAGGAGTAATTTAGACCCATAATAAATCTTAGCCATTATTGTAACTTGAAGAATAATTCAGCATATGTTCAAGAAAAGCATATGAAAAGGTCATAATAATTCATACATAATATCAGAAAAACTCCCAGGAGGGGGGAGAAAGAAAAGAAAGGAAAAAAAAAGGAAAAACTATTTAGAATTGTAATTTGGGTACATAAAGAGAGTGGAATGCAGTATCACATGATCAAATTATCACCAGTCATCCAAAACCAGCTGCAAATCACAAATGTGTGAAGTCGTGTATTGTCTCAGGGTTTGAGGAGAGTGGGAAAATACAAAGTAGGATATGGCATAAGGGTTTATTTGCTGGTAAGATGTGTTTTAAGAGGTCAGTCACACTGAATTCATTGTGCTTCATGCTTTTGTATTATGTTGGGTGACTGCAAGGCAACTAGCCATTTGAGAAGGCCATTCTTGTTTGTTTTAGAAATGAAAGCAAACAGTGAAACGGTGCAGTGGTAATTCAGTATCCTGGGTATCTCACAGCAGTGGTCTCAGGCATACCTGGAGAGACAAGCCTCATAACATTGTTTCAGCTGTGAGTCGGGAAGTCAGAGGATTATTGCTGACTGGAAGTCAGTATCTGGCAAGATACTTACTGTAGGGATGCTTTGGGTAGTTAGGCAGTAAGAGGAAGATGGTCAGGCACCGTGCAGCTATGGCTGAAGAGTAATTATGTAAACATATCTTCAACTTCAGATCCAGGCTGTTAAAGGATGTGCATTGTCCTGCAAGTCTGGAGACTCAGTGAATTGCCACAAATATGAGACAACTTGAGAAACAAGTATCCCTGAGCCTCTGTTTCTCTTTTTTCTCCACTCACCCCAGCCTCTGCTCACTTACTCTCCCGCACCTTTTCATCTTGCTGCATTTGAAAAGGTGAAATGTTGCTGTGTTTTGCTGGGCTAGAAGGGAGTAAAGAGAAGGAGTGAGTTTGCTGGCTTAAGGTGGCCAGTCATCTCAGTCCTGTCTAAAGATGCTTATACAAGAATTAGCATTCATTGCTCCAGAATACAGAGCTGTTTCTTTATGGCTGTTACAGGAAGAACAGGTACTGAAGTTTTCTACTGTCAAAGATAAACAAAAATTGGTTTTGGTAGGTGCATACTAGTTTTAAAACTTCCATACTTAGGCAGCAGGAGACAGATTTTTGTCTTTGATGTCAATGTAATTATTTCACTGCACCTTCCCCCCGTGCCCCCAGAGGTTTTTTGCTGAAAGGAGAAAATGTGGATACAGAAATGTGTAGTGGTTTTACAGATAATTCAGTATAAGCACACTTAATTTATCAGATGACCAGTAAGTATGTTTTCAAGTTAAAGTGAAACTTTTCCACTTTGAACAGCTGAAATTTCTTAAAATGCACTGCAAAGGCTTACCGTCCTTAATGGATTTAAATATTTAGTAGAGACTAACTGCTTTCATGACTACTGTCATTCTCCTTGTCAAAATTCTTTTAAAATATATATAGCAGACACTATATGATATGTGTATACTATAGTATACAGTGAAGGGTTTTTGTTTCCTTTATTATTTCATTCTTTTGATTCATAAAGGGTGTGGTATTTGTAATATAAATACTTTAAATTGGTAGTATCAGTAGTGTCAGAACAGGAGTCTGATGCTCCTAGCTGAGTCAAATTCTCTTAATTTCAGTCTTACTTTAGGAGACTGTCTTATGCGTGTGTTATACATGATAATTCAGGTGAACGTGACCAGTTCTGTGCAGTCAGCGTGGGATTTCATGTAGAAGTGAATAACGGGGACACAGTAGTTTGTTAAAAGAAAGTGCTTGAGGAACAGAACATGTAGAAAGCTGTTGAAAGGAAGTTTTCGCCATGAAATCAGTGAGTTAGAGGGCAAACATTGAAAGGTAATTGGAAAGATGTTGGCCATGAGAACAGTGAATTAAGGAGGGTAATACACCAAGTCAAATTCAAAAGGAAGCAAAATAGTGTGAAATGCTGACAATGCTGGAACATGACTGAAGTTTTTGGTTTGTAGTGGTACTTGTAAGAGAAGGGCAGAGGGAATATTTTCATCCCAGTGTGCAAAGCTTGCCTCTGCATAAAACCTGATATCCATATATCGCTCACAGTAACAGGCTTCAGATTTGACCTTCAACAAACATGGAAACATCCTAAGAAAAACCAAATAAGTGGTTTAGATTTACTGAAAAAGTGTTTACTGTTTTTCAAAAAGAGGTGATTGGATTTGGGAGCTGGGGGCTGGAATTTCTAAAACGTTCACCAATTCAGCAGAGCCAGTTGTTGTGTTTCAGCCTAACTGGGTACCATTTAACCAATTGCTTTGCTCCAGAAAACTGAGATAAGCCTTTCAGGAGTATCTCACAGAGACCACAGGCTTTCACCGGCATTAGCTCCTTCAGCTTTTGTGGTAACTTTTTTATAGTCACTTTTTCTACCTAAAGGAAAAAAAAAAAATCTTTGAGCAGCTTATTTAGGTGGAAGAGGAGCTCTTTGTGTGTATATGGTGGTATTTCAATGTTGGTTTTTTGGGTGTGGCCGTGTGGGTCACTGTACTTAAAATTTTGTGCTTCCTGAACTAAATAGGCCATTTGTGCATTTATTTGCAATTAGCATTACTTCTGACATTAATTCTGTTCCTCTGCAAAGACAAGTAATTTTATGACTTTCAGTGTGTTTACAACATATGGCTTTTTTCCCAAAGATACTAAAAATCCTGTGTTTGAACAGATGTGTAAACCAAAGTATTGCTGCCTCATATACTTTGGTCTTGTTTAAAAAGAGCTGGAGGGATGCACATTTTTGGGGGTTTAAAATACCTTTAAGACAGGCATTGACATGGCTAGTCTTGTATTCTATGGGAGTTATGCTTTCTTGAATTAAATTATACAGCCCTGATTTACTGACAGAGTGAAAATAAGCCAAGTCTTAGCATAGTGAGATCTGAATACTATGAATATGCTTCATGCAACATTTCCATCAAAATAAATATATTTTAAAACCATCATTGCTTTCTTCTTTTGACGTACATTTTCTGGGTAAAGTTCTTTGTTATCCATGCATTCGTAAAAAAAAAAAAAAAAAAAAAATTTAAAATGTTAAGAAATGTATAGAGAACCAGCAAGAGAATTGTAGAATATTTATGCTGTAGGTAATGTCTACTAATTCAATCTTAATTTTGTTACTAGCATTATACTCTTATTGGGAGGGCAGGGGTTTTATCTCAGTTGGGGAGTTGGCTTCAGTTTTGTATAGTGTATCTTAAAATAGTGCAGTAGAATTTTAAGCTTTGTAGTTGTGCATTTGTCCTAAAGTGAGAACTTATGCCTGTAGGTTCCAAATATTAACATCTCTTTCTGTATGCTAGCTCGAGGTTACTTGCCAGTGTACAGTTGAGAACAGATGTGAGATCCTAAAGCTCAGAAACATTGTGAACAGCCCATGGAAATAAGGCAAATGGACATGGATCAAATAGAAACACACTGAGAAGAAACACTGTAAATCTGAAACCAAATTTTGAACTGCAGATGACAAGGTGTGAACACAGTTTGTGTTTTCATCTACTAAAGCAGTGTTAGCAGGGAGACTGACATCACTAACCAACTATTCTTTCCTGTGATTTCATTTGAAAAAACTAAAAGGAAAAGGTACTGCTGCTTCTTTGTGTGGGTTTTCTTCTGTTTTTCCATGCTCTTCATGTGCATTTTTGCATTTTCTTGTTTCCTTTGGCTTACCTTTTAGCAAAGGGGAAATTTTGATGAAAATTTGTGAGCATCTTTGAAAAATACCTTCGGTGTAAATAGGATTGTATTTTTGTGCAACATATCAGAGAACCAAGACTTCCCTTCCATGTCCCTGGAAGTTTGTGACTGAGTAGGGATCCTAATTTGCAGCTGTGAATCCCAGTCTGAGTGATAGTGAGAGTTGGGTGCAGTGGAACTCATCATTATGTCAGAGACACAGCTATCTTAACGATTTCAATGTCTCATTTTACTAGAAAAATGATGAAAGCCCAGAAGACAGCACTGCGGAGAAGAGCCTTGTTAAGGGAGGGCGAGAAATGCTGATGAACAGTAAGCAGCAGCATCTGCATGTTATGCATCCTGTGACCCAGAGAAAGCAGAAAGTGTGCAGAGTAGGTTCAACCACCTTCTTGATTGGAAAGACGCCCAAAGGAATACGCAGGTGAGGCTGCTTTGGTGAGCTGGAAGTGTAATGCTAGTGCTGAAACAAACTTCCCTCTGGCTAGTTGTTGCTTTTGTCTTTATTTCAGCCCTGCTCAGGGAATTCTGACTGTTTTCTCTGGCAAGAGTGGAACCAGTGGGAAACCTCCACTCCTACCACATTAAGAGTACTGCAACTGATAAATTAATTGAACACAGAAATTACTGAACCTGTTGGTTCAATGGTCATGTAATACATGACTGTGCAGATGTCATCATGAGTGTTCGTGGTATGTTCATCGTACACAGCTGCAAAGCAGTGATTAAACTGTATGGAAACAAGACATTCTGTAGTGTGAACTTCTGACTGCCTACTGGCTTTGCCATATCTCATCACTTTCTTTGAAGGAGTAATAAAATAAAATTGGACTTCATGTTTCTTTTTTAACATGGGGCTCAATGTTTTTCAATATTTTTCAATATTTCTTTTAATGTTTTGTTCCCCCCCCTCATTTTTGGAGTGCTAATACTTTTTCTGGTTCCTTGTTTTCCCTTTTCCCCCAAGCAATTGTTATTATTAGTATGAATATTAACTTTCATTGTTACAGAGATAGACCTTCAATAAAAAGAGCCAGGTGGTATGTGTAAATAGAAAGTGGAATTCTGTAGCTATCTAAGGAAATATTTATTTTAAAAAAGTAAATAAATACCTACAGAACAGATATTTGGTGTGTATTTTCAATTTTGTCTTAAGACAATGAAATTGCTGTATGAGAGTTGGCAGCTAGGTAATGCCTGTTAGTGTTCAGGATCTGCCATATCAGCTCTCTGGCCTCAGCTGTCCAAACTGTTACTGTTGAGCTGCCAGATTTGTTTACTCTTTAGACACTGGCAATGCTAAATATTTACGAGGCACTTAAAGAAGAACCCTTCTTTCTAGAAATACTCAGAACTGTAATCATAGTTCTCAATAACTCGTTGAGGCGAATTTTCAAAGGTAATGAAGGCTGTTAATTCCAAGATCCTAAAGCCAAATCTAGCAAAAAAGCTTAAGCCATTCACTGTTAAACGTTACCCAGGTCGTCTGTTAGCACCTGGCATGCAGTTAGGCTTGGTCTGCATGTGGATGTGCCGTGCAGTGGGTGAGGGTGGTTGTGTCTCAGTCTCCTGTGCCCAAACACAAGTTGCAGGGCAGAGTGGGAAGCTCTCTGCAGTCACCACACTCTAAGGGTGTAATTGGAGCTAGCCAGTCGAGTGGTTTGAGGCAAACAGGGTTAAATCTTACTGCTTTTTGGAGCCCCCATACAGGGAAGGCAACATGTTTGATATCCTTTCTCTGACATGGGAGTGTAAACCCACCTCTCCAGCCTTCCAGTAAGGTTACCTGACCCCAGATGAGGGCTAACTTAGTTAGGGTGATCTTTTTTAATTAAATCTTGGCCTTTTAGCAGAAATATATTCCATAACTCACTGGGCAGGATGATGTGGACAGTCCTTGTCTCCTGTGAAAGCTTTTATCCGACTCTTGTTTAGCAAGTCTCCTTCAAAAGGAATTGGAGCAACTCTTTCCTCCCCTGCCTTTACTTCCTTAAAAAAAAAAATCAGAACAAAAAACCCCCCACAAACAAAACTCCCAACATTCAACCATCTGTCCATCTACACTTCTTTGGTATCTGTATGCTTCTGAACTCTGGCCCTTTCTTATGGTATCTTACCCTCAGTGAGAGTGAATCTTTGAATCGTAAGCTGAGGAAATCATAGTGTAGTTTGGGATTCAAAAGTCATTTCAGTTCTTCTGAAGTTATTATTCTTTCTTCTCTTTGCTAATAAAAACAAACAATGCTTCTAACAAGGGAGTTACTTTTGATGGTTATTTTCTGGGTTATCTGAAGTAGGTGAATTGAATTAATCGCTTGAAACTGCTTTTGTTTCTAGTTAAAAGTGTCACAATAACACATTTTTCCTTCTTGGTAATTACAGGACACAATTTGAGGAAATGGTATCCCACTTTAATATGGGATCAGTGAAAGACCTCGCAGAACATATTGCAAAAGCTACCTCAGAAACAAGGCAGAACATGTTGAAGGAATTCTATGTTTCCAAGCACCCTGAGATGGAGCCTTTCTTCTCAGTTGAAATACCAACACAAGAGTTACGTGGCCCTGAGGAAGGAGGACTGGGTACATCACACTCTAGAAAAAGAAAACCTGTTGTTAATTTTGGAAGGTCTAAGTCTAGACCTTCATCAGCTAAAGAACTACTTCTGAGCAGGACCACAGAAACACAGACCCAGCAGAGCTGTAAAGGAGGAGCAGAGAAGCTTCACAATGACTCCTGCCTGCAAGATGTGCTTGTTGATGCAAAATGTAAACAATCACCCACTGTTGCTGCTCAGCGTTTAGAAAGGAGAAACAGTCAGGCATTCAAGGATTTTATGGCATCTGGCTCATTAAACAGTAAATCAGGGGTGCTGCCTGTAAAAAGTTGTGAAGGACAGCGGGACTCAGAAGGAACACAGCTGCCAAAAAAAAGATCCCTGTCTCAATCAGAAAATGGAGAGAGCAAAGCTCAGATTTATAAGAAGAAGTCTTTTATGGATTTACTTGGAGATACCTCTATTCTCAATGACGTCTTCAGAAGTGGTGGAAATGGGCCTGCAGGATCACCAAGGAGATTCTCTTCGGGGGAAGCAGAAAAATCAAAGGAGAAACCAAAAGATTTCTGGGATATGCTGAATGAGCAGAACGGGGAGAACCTCAGGAAGCTCACGGACATAGCAGTCATAGAGAAGCTGTGCAAAAGAGCACCTCGTTCCACAGTGACAGAAGAGACAGAAGTGTGCGAAGGTTCTCTCTGGAAAAAAAATGAAAATTTTCTATGGAAAAAGTATCGTGCGTGTGATTCAGATGAACCCTCCACTGCTAAATCTTGTGATGTAGTAAAATGAAAGTTTTCTACACGGGTTGCACTTTAATTATTTTAGTTGAACATTGAGGAACTTCAGGAGTGTGGAACAAAACATTGTAACTCCATGAAATTAAAGGCAAAATGATGAGTTCTTATCTAGAGTAAGAGAGAATTATATTTTACAGGTGTGAATTATGTATGTAACAACATTTGCAAATATGTATGTAATTACATATGCAATGTATAGTACATTTGTGCATAGTAATGCATATAGACTATATATTGTAAACTATGACATATTAATTTTAAATTAAACTTTTTTAGAATTTTCTGAGTACACTTGGCTTTCATTAATTCTATTTCTGGGCTCAGTAGCTGTACTTTGTAATTATTTTCCCTTTACATTTGGACACCCTCAGTCATCTCAACAATCTAATGATAACAGGATTTGACAATGATATTTCATATATTTTCTGAGGTACTAGAGACTGGGGCACTTCCTGAGCCAGGGATGACGTCTCTGTGTCCAATAGTTTTTGATGGGTTCCCACCCTCCATGATTTTATTCTGTTCTTCACAGATTGGAGGAGTGGTGATGAGATACACGGTGTTGTATCTCATTTGCCAAATAGTCACATTTGTCAGTGCTGTGGGATCGTGTGAAGAGTACCTTGTAACACACGATGAAAAGAGGCCAGGGCTTCACGCTGGTCTGGAAATCTTAACCCTAATCCTTGATTTTTGTACATTTCAGATGTAATGCTGCATTAGTGTAGGGGTTTACATTGCGTAAACACAGTTGCAGGGAGGTTTGGGCTACAGGAGAGCTCTTAGCAGCCTCCTAGCACAAGGAAATAGGTTCGTGGTAGTTGTCACCTGATCTGAACATAAATCACTGAGGAGGAGAAGGGTGCCACGGCCCTCAGGTGGGCACGGCGTGCAGGGGGTTTGCTGTTTGCTGTGGCAGTGCCCTTGTTGTTTTACTCAGTGGGGTTTGTGTGGGTCTGGCACTGGGTCCCTGGCAGAGCAGGTGGTACCAATAGTTCCTGTAGCCTTCAGTGAAAATTCTTTGACTGGAAAGAAAACAGGTTGCCAGTGAAACAGCGAAAAGTCTTGCCCTGCCTATGCTGACAAATGCACCTACCTCAGCAACCAGTCTGCAAAACTGTCCCCAGACCTAGTTAAGAACACTACTGTTCTGAGTCTGATTTACAGTGTAGTTTGGATCTTAAGAGTGATTTGCAGACTGGGAGTATGGTCAGAACTGCATTTGGGGGTAGCTATGTGGTACACACACAGATTTCATATTTGATCTGGGGGCAGGAGACTGAATAATTTCAGGTGATGATTGGGTTTCAGAAAGTCAGGGTGCAAACACTTTGTGTACACATTAAGGCAATTTGGCAGGGATCTATTTGCTCAGTTTCAGCAGATCATGTGTTGAGGCACTGGAAGGCAGACTGGTGCCAGTTCTTTGGCTTCAGCACAGTGAGTGAGAACAGCATTAATAGGAGGAAAGGGTAATTGGTAATAGCATTATCAGGGTACTTTGAAGGGGATAATTATACTTACTACATAAGAAAAAGATGATTTAAGTTAACTTCCTTACGAATCTCAACTGCAGAAGGAAGGGAGGATTCTGTTCTTCCAAGGAACCATTTAACTGCCTTTGCTGCTACATGTTTTTTTGTTCATGCAGTGCCCTGCATATGTTGTCCACTACATACATTCCAGTTTATGCAACAAGTGAGGTAATACTACAAAAACTCTCTCTCCTTGCATGTTCCCAGATTCAGTACATCTTGACTTGGTGCATTCCATAGAAAAAGAGTGATGACTGCCTAAGGAGAGTTCATGTCAGAGTCTGCCTTCCTGATACAGGCACCTGAAAAATAGGGAACTGGCTTAAGGTGACTAAGGAAGTGCAATTTCTACTGTTGAAACTGGATGTCTGGTTGGCAGATGAGAGAGGTAGGCAGTGATTCAGAGCACTTAAGAGGTATGCCTCTCGCCCTGTGCATCATGTGTGTATCACAGCAGTGTCCTAAATGACTAAATGAGTCCATATCTTACATATGATTGTACCAGCTGATTCTGAAAGAGGAAAAAAGTACATCCAAACAAGATGATGGGAGGGCTTCAGCGTTATTTTTGGTTTGGTCAGCATCCAAAAAGCTGAATTTCCTTTTTCGAAGACCAAGTGAAGAAAGATTGTGCTCTAAAATAAAGGACATCATTGAATGTAAGCATGAGGTGTATGCATGATACTCGAGGACAGGTTGTCTCAGTTCTCTGAGTTTGCTTGAGCTGAGAGGGTGGAACTGAGTGGTCAGGACCTGGCCTTGTGTCTGTGTCCCCAGGGTAGTATTCTGAATTGAGACTTAAACTAACTGGAGCATAAGCAGGCCTGCTGCACTAAAGCATTGTTTTCTGAAATGCGCCCAGGAGCCATGAGTACCCTGTGGTTTGTGTTGGTCTGTTGTGGCACGGTGCAGTGGCTGGGCAGTGGTTGTGTGTTTGATACCAGCATTCTTGATCCCCAGTGCTGCACCACTGGGGACAGTGGGAAAGCAGTGGGGGTACCTGGGGTGCTGAACGAATACCCACTCAGCTCAGAAGGAATCCGTATTTTCCTTCGGCTGAACTGTTTATACTGGAAGGATTTTATTCCTCTTTTTGGTTTGATATTAAGTTGTTTCCATCAAGTGAATGCTTGTGTAAACGTGATCTCCCATATCACCCTGAAAGTCATCCCGTGCCAGTTACTTCCAAAACAAATACCAGATGTCTGTTTGTGTCTGAGGTAACTGCTGCCAGCTCTCACCAGCACTTGCCTCTCCATGGTTGAGGCTGTGGTGGAAGTCCCGTCACAGTCTCTGGTTGTTCTGGTTTATAATTCCATGGCAAAGAAAACAAATCCATACTGGGGTCTAATTTGGGATGCAATTTAAGTGTCCCTGGGAAAGCTGTTATCTTAAAACTTTCATTTTGGTGCTTTGGTCTCATCACAGTGAACTCAGAACTCCACTTGTCGTGGTCCTTCTAAATGCAGATACTGTAATGGCATGGCTAGAGGGTTTTGTGCTGCCTTTGCTTCTCTCAGCCCCCCACTGTTTCATAGTTGTGATTATATATATTGCAGTAATTACAATATGCTAATTCTGACTTAAGAGTCGTATACCTAGGGGCGGTATCGAGGAGTATGTTCTCGTTAGTCACATGTTGAGGTTCTGCTCTGCTTCTGATGAGTAACTGCAGTATTTAGGAAAAACAGGATCTAAGTTCCTTGTAAGGGGCATTATTACTTTTCATACTCAATGCTCTCATCGTTACAGGTACATAATGTGTATTCTATATATATACAGTCTGGCATGTATATATGTTTGTGTGTATAAATTAGAATTATAAATTATATATATAATGTAATATAATTTCTAACACAGTAAGGGAAATTATGATTGCATGAAAAAAAAAATTTTAGGCCTGTGGCAATTGCCTTCATACTTGATATACTGTTGTTTGCATCTTGGGAACATAGAATAATTTTGTGGTTCAGAATTTTGTGAATCTATCAAAAGATTGTTGTATTTGGTCCTTTGTTTCAAACTCAGAAACCTTAGGCAGCTGAGAAACTGCTAAAAAATTGTAACTTGCATCCATCACAAACACCTACATTCAGTGGCATTCATCTCTCTGATTCTTTGTAAGGTGCACAGAAGAGTTTGTGCAGTCTCTTATTTTGTTCTTGGGCTGTGCAGTCCTCTGTTTAGTTTGAGAAGAAACTCAATAGGAAAATGTGCTTGGAATGAACTCTGGTATTTCTCTTGAAACATTCCTGAATATATATTGAGGGAATCCTTTTATAAATTCCACTTCATTGAAAGAAATAGAAGCAGTAGAAAGACACTTAAAGGTGAAAGTTGGACTTTCTATTGCTTATGTAATGGAAAAGTTAATAAAAATGTTAAAGTAATAGTAAATTAATCTTTAATAATAATAGTCCTATTCAATAATGAGGAAAGCTACTTAAAATGGTGGGAGTTTTTTTTAATGTTTTCATTTACCCTTTGGTTCAGGCACTCATGGTAAGAAAATAATTTTAGACATTTCAAGGGAGGTTAAAAAATATAACATTAAAAAAATATAACAAGACACTTTTCTTTTACTTTCCTCCTTGGAAATCCCGAGAGCCATCTTAGAAGACTTTGTGTTAAGGACTCAGAGCAAGCAATAAACCCCTGTGTAATTGAGTTAGTATACTTTGAGCATGTCACTGGTTTATCTTTTGTTGTTTCATTCCTTCAGAGATGAGGAGTGGGCGTTCAGAACCTCCGGCACGCTGCAGTGAGTCTGTTCTTCCTGGTAGCAGAGAACTCCCATTCTTAGCCTTGCAGGATAGCAGATAACAGCAGCACAACAGATAGGAAGTCTGTGATGTGTGTCTGGTGGGACCTTTTGTTTTTGTTCGGGCAATTAATGAGGGAAGATTACAGTGACCCAGTAGCTTGGTTTGGATGTGTGGAAATGGGAGCCCACTGTGCAGTTGTGCAGCAGGGCCTGCAGCTGACCTGGGGTGCAGCCTGGGCTTCTTCACTCGTGGCTTTGTGCTGAGACAGTCACAGGGAAAAACTGCAAATGCGAAAGGGAAATTAAAATAAAGGGATCTCTGCAGAGGACACCACGTTTTGAAAGAGAAAGGAGGTGATGTCCTTGGGAAAAGTCAGTATTGGTAAGCACAGAGTGGAAGGCTGTGCCAGAATGCATGAGCATTTGTAACGCGGTAATTTTCTAAGTTCTGAGTGGTTTTATAACTTTACTATTTCTAGCACAGTTTTTACAAGGTGCTTTTCGAAAACTTTTGGATAAAACCATGAGGAAAAAGGAATTCCTTTGCTCAGAAGTTATTGATTCCCACATGGATCATTATGAACATTTAGAATCAAAATTACATTTACTTGACCAGCTGGAGGGGCCAATAGCAGTAGGTTACAGTCTCTGTTGTGGACCAGCCAGTCAGGGGAAGAAAGGATGTAGTTGTCAGTAGATGTCACAGAAACTGGCTGAGAACAAGAGTGCAGGCATTTGTGAAATCTGGGTTCTCTTCTGCAGTCTGGAGACAGTGTTTGTGTATTTAACACAATGGATCATTAAGCCTTGCCTATGTTGCATCTGTCTCTTGGAGCCTGCTCTGCTTTTGTGTTTCTTTCTTGTTAGCCCAAGCTCTTGGGCTCGTTTCCAAGATAACCAGCGTCCTCAAGGGTGCTGCATGGGCACCATCAGTGAGTGCTGATGGAATAACGGGCAGAACTTCTCTCTCAGCAGCTTCTAGGGGCCAGG